ACTTGTGGTAATAACCGACGACAGAACCGTTGTTGTGCTATGGGTAATCACCTTCATCAGGTATGTTGTTGTGCAGGTTGTAATAACTGACGACAGGACTGTTGTGCTAGTGGTAATAACCGACGTCAGGGGTGTTGTTGGGATGATGGTAATAACCTACATCAGGAGTGTAGTGTGGTAGTGATGACACCAGATGTCTTATTACATAGCGGTACAATGTGCCTTGTGTAAATGATGTCACCGGGTGTGTTGTGGTGGTAAGGGCACCATGTGTGTGTTGTGAGAAAGGCATATGTGTTTTGTGTGTTAAGTGATTCCATATGCGCAGTGTGGTAATGACACCAGATGCGCTGTGTGGTAACACCAGATCTGTTATTGCAATACTGACACCAGGAATGTTCTCATGCATTTGTGAAGCAGAAATAACTATTCCTGATCGGATCGGACATTTTTGTCCCGACTATTTGTTGTAGTTATGCTGTATCTGTATATAACGAACTTCGGTTATAACGAACTAAAATTAGTGGTCCCATTGAGCTCGTAATAACCGTAGTTTACTGCAACATATTTATTCAAATCAGTTGAATGATGTTGTCAGTCCTTACCATTTGTAACATATTCTCGAGAATATAGGCATTAAATTCGAAATAAAAATTTACACCGGTATCATATATCTCATTTTATGTGATGCTCATGTTTGTGGTTCCTATGTAACGGAATATCCTATGTTACCTTTACGATCGTGTAATACGGAATTAGGATTGACATTTTGTAGCTTGTAAATAGAATGTTTTATGACTTGCTTAAGTACGGAGCATTAACCTTAAACTCTCAAGACTTTGTTTTCGTGTTTTTAATTTTTCATAATACTACAGGGATAACAGAGCAACGGTGAAAAGGATTAAAACTTCATGTACATGCCTATCGGTTTCTCTCCCTATTCCAATGCAGTTTCACAGTTTTAACAATACATCGTGGGACTACTCCGACAGGATGACACTAAAGTATTGGGTTCGCGGCTCCAGGAGATCAATGACTTCTTGACATGGAAGACGTGGGTGAGGTAAATATACAACTAGGTGCAACTGGTACAATATGTTCTTTTACACGGTATGCCCCTCAGAACTGAGACGGCTAATCCGACATCTGATACGCAATGGAGCCACCTGCAGGCATTAGTCAGCCTAAGCACGCGCAGTAGGTGTGTGTTTTATATCACGTTAGATTATCCAGACACTGATATATACAACCTTCTCACTAATACTGATGAAAAAGAAATGAAGGAAGGGCCATGCACACTACACGAATAAATCCATTTCCATTCGTGCCATTGGATTTGGTGTGGGTGATAAAAGTGGGAACATTGCCAAAACTTTTATAGGACGTGATTACGAAATTCCAATTAGAATAAAATATTAAAAGTCGAAAGAAACAAATAAGGAATATTTTAAAATATATTAGGATTATAATCTGCATTACTGCTAATTCTTTTTTCAACGACAGGAAGTGTTTTACCTTGTGTAAGAGCATGAACTGTACATTATTTTTCATCAGTAATTGTAGTGCAACACAGTCAAAACACAAAGCACAAAAGCACACACACAAAAAAAAGCACACACACAGACAAAAGCACACATACACACACAAAAGCACACACAAAGGCACACAGACACACACAGACAAACACATATAAACATACACACAAACACACAGGCACACAAACTAACACACATATACACACATACATACACATAAACACAAACACACATACAAACACACACAGACACAAACACACACATACACACAAAAAGAAATATTCGGCAAATAGTTCCTATGTTTTCTAATTCCTCTCCGTAAGTACACACACACACACGGACACACGCATACAGACACTCGCACACAAACACACATATACAAACACCGAAAAACACACATATACACCCATACACACAAAAACACACATACATACACAAACGCACATACAAACACACAAAAAAACACATACATACACACAAACACACATACAAACACAAACAGGCACACATACACACAACAAAAAAACACATGCACACACAAACACACATGCAAACTCACACAAATACAAACACACGCACACACAAACACACACATAGACACATATACACATGCAAATATACTTATACACAAATGTACACACAAACACACACATACACACACAAAAACAAACACACACAGACACATATACACATACACAAACATACTTATACACGCATACAGACACAAACACACACATACACACACAGAAACACACACCCAAAAACAAACACACACACAGACATATATACACATACACAAACATATTTATACACACATGCAGTTACAAACACACACAAACACACATATGCACAAACACACACAGTCGCACACACACACAAACACACACATTCACATACAAAGAAATATTAGGCAAATATATTGTTTATATCATGTTTTCTTATTTTCCTCTCCGTAAGTACACACACACAGATACACACACAAACACGCATATTCACACATAAGCACACAAACGCACAAACACACACAGACACACACACAAACACACACATACACAAACACACGTACACACACATACACACATACAAACACACACAAAGAAATAATAGGCAAATGTTTTGTTTTATATCATGTTTTCTTATTCCTCTCCGTACACACACGCAAACACAGACACTCACAAACACACACACACACACACACACACACATACACACACGCAAACACAAACACTCACAAACACACGCACACAGACAAACACAACACACAAAGAAACAAACACACACAAACGCATACACACATAATTACACACATGCACACACTCAATGTTTGTGTCCCTTTAAATCCTACAATTTAGTATAAAAAATATATATATATTTCAGGTTTTATGCCTAAGGGATGCCACACTGCACGGGTAATTACGGCGCCTTAAACGACTGTGCCCCCGTGATTACACAATACCACAATCTGTAGGCCTGACAATACAATCTGAAATGAAAACCCTCCATTATTATTCATGACAATTCATCAACTACAGACTCGACTAGGGGTAGTCAAGAGATATTCAAAAATACTTTTCCCTAATGAAGCACATAACACAAAGAAGTAACATATCAACCATGTGATCATCTACAACGCATGTGTATAACATTTACCTAAAACGGTCTACGTTGCATCACCGCAATCGTGAGGATTACCACCAACACATGGGGCATATTTGTTCAACGCGGAGGAGGGCATTGAAGATGACACCAAAGCTATTTCTTGTTTATTACTTGATTTACGGATAATTCTGCATAAACAGGGGGTCTGTGGTCGAAATAGAATCAGAATATTATTGCAGAACAACAGCTGTCTAAAGGGGTCAGTCGATAGTATAGATGGCTGGGTTAATAGGAATACATTAACAGTTTTAGAGCAACCAAGCTCTTTTATACCGTTTACATTACGGGCTTCGAAAATAGGTGTCATTTTAGTTAAATATATTCACAGACAGGAATTTAAGTGACTGTCTAGGTTCAATTTAGTTGAACATTTGTCAAATTAGGGTTCGACAGTAAGTAATAAATCACAAACGCCTAATTATAAGAAAGAAGGTTGCTCTGTGATTCGCCATGATGCTTGTCACAGTTCCACATGGTAAAAGCATGCTTCAGATCTTGTTGTTTTTACATTTTATTTGTAAAAAACAGACACGTGCATCGTTTCCTACAGGATTTATATATAAGGAAAGTAAAATCAATATTGTAGTATCATCATCGTCATTTGTTGGACCAAAAGCTTTAATTCCAAAATGTGTATCGAAAATCTTGGTAGACGTCAGTTACAATCAATGACATTGAGTGAGTTTGGTTTAACGCCGCTCTGAACAGTAAGTCAGTTATACCATGTCCTGTCAGCTTGATTTTGGAAGAAATCACCAAGTGACGCAGGTCTCATTAATCTATTCCAGATTACACAATCGATAGTTATCCAATGAAACCCAGTGCTATCCAATGTTAACCTGGAAATAGTTTCGACTCCGGGACATTTTGAAATCCGCGGTCAATCCACACACAGAAAGTTTGTAAAGAGAGTTGAATCCATGTTGTTTCTAAGCTTGGAAAGAAAGCTTTTTCGCCCAGTGTTTTATTACTCCACGATGTGATCTAAGATATGAGAGACGTAAAAACTGTTAAATAATAACCACGGGGGTTACACACGAACATTTTAAATACGCCTTTGGGTGTTTTCGTTTCATGTTGACAAAACATATATCATGTACATGTCAATCGCAAAAAAAACGCATTAGGGTTAGAGTAAAAACTTTTATAGCAATTAAAAACCCAAAGACATGTTGTTCCTACTGGCCGGGGGGGAGCCGGTCTACAGACTGATAGTGATGTCACCGAAAGGCATCTTGTCCTTACGTTTGAAATGCTGGAACACATGTCAATCAACTTGCATAAATTAAACGTCACCATAACAACAGCCAATCAAATATCAGTTTGAATCCCAGATCTAGAGCGGAAAATAAAATGATCGTCAACTATTGGCTGCCTCGTCCGTGCCTCGTGATGATGTGTGAATGCTCGATGCGCATGCGTAGTCCAGTGATGCACACATATACACACATTTGGAGCGTGCATTTCTTATTGCCACAGCCACACTGAGTGTAGGGCAGAATATACCAGTACACGGTGTCCTCAATTGTTTGCTTCCCATAAACTCATGTTGATGTTTCCGTTTTCGATGACCACAAGAATCCACACAACGATGCCACCAAAACACGCTCCTGAAACCGTCTATGTCGGCTAAAGGTATAATTTCTTCTTTTCTCACCACACAATTTATTCACAACCCTCAAATATCTTCCACAACGTCACACTGAAACGTCACTCTGTGAGGGGACAGCTGTCGAGTGAGTTTAGGTTTCGCCCACAGTCTATCCATAGCTCTCACGCATATTGGGGCTTTCTTGCGGTCATTTTTCACAATGTTTTCTTGCGGACTATTTTCCGTCTCACTCTCTGTTTCTTCTGTAGCCTCTGTGATTGGCCAAATATTGCAGGGGGCACTGTGACGCCTCCCGCGTCCTAATTTCGCTGTTGAGAGGCGCGCTGTTATACCTGTTTATTGTTAAAAATTATTAGTGGGTGATATACAAATGACACAACTCATGCAACGACACAATGACGCATGCTCAAGTAGAAGTTACACCAAAATGGTTACATAGTCTAACATATACTTACAGACTTACCTGTAATTAGAACAATACTATCAGAACAGGTAATAGATAATTACTATCTACTACGTCTAAATAAAGCGCACAATTTAAACTAGGAATGTTATGCTGTTAAAGCTTAATATGCCTGATCTACAAACTAAACAATATGATCTGAGTTGCCTAAATGCTAACTATGACGAGATATGTCAATGAATGACAATGACGACCTATCTCAATGCATGACTATGAAGACTGCTCTCAATGCAGGACCAACAACAGTGTTATGTTAGTGAGGTAGGAGTACGTTAGTGGGACAGGAGCAATGTAACAGCAAGTGTTAGTTCAGGACGAGCATAGCCCGACAAAACATACCGCCAAACATGCATACTATGAAAGCAGCGACCTGGTCGGGTCGACATCGTCATCATTCTCTGAAACAACCAAGGCGTTAGTTATGTTAGTGAAATGGAAAAGGGGATGTTGGTCGACCTTGCCACACACCATTCTGTATTGCTGCATCCTGAACCCTCTTTTTTAAATTCTAAAGAATTCAGTTTAATAACATACCATTTGGAATTTCGGCTGCATCACTCCTTCGTCGGTATAAACTCAGTACATCTTTTTTTCAAAATACAAAGCCTCTTAAGATAAAATTTTGAATGGTTTTACAAGTAACATCAGAAAAGTATCACAGCGTGATTCAGTGATGGTCTTTGGAACTTGACATTAACAAACCTTCAGACAACTAGCACTTTACGGATTGAAGACATCTACATACGTATATTATTAATTTTAACATAGATGGGCAGATATGAGGGTTATAATTAGAATTGTAAACATCTGCTCGTATGGTGACTTATGTGGCAAGACCGAGAACATCAGACGGCAGCGTCGTGTTAGTAGAGTTAATAAAGACATCCTTGCTGTTGGGAACGTGGGCTAACAGTAGCGTCTCGGATTAAGCATTGTTGTCCCAACATCCAAATGTCAACTTTTATAATAATGCCAGACATGAGACAAGTTGGCCTACACCCAACAGCAAAGACAGAGCAGTTCGTTAGCATCATGCTTAATAGAGACGTACTCTCAAATGTCACGCCTTATAAGCCCTGAATGGACGGGAGAATGGCTTGCATAGATTTAATTTAATCAATATTGTTTCTTACTGTAATGACAAACAGCTGCAAGCACATTTCTGGTGAATCCATCTAACTGTATATTTGTATCTGAATATTTTCTTCATTAATATCTTATACAAATCATATTTTTTCTGTCAGTTTGAATTTATCCCGAAAATGTATCTGAAAGTTCAGAAGAAGTTTAGAATAACAGAGACATTAAAAATGGCTATATTTGGATGTCTGTTCTGCCTACAGCACTTGAATTCTCCTTCTGAATCTAAAGTGCACTGAGTTTCTTCTAACTTAACGTCAGCTGATCTTGTGCAATTCTGAGTAGGTTATGGAAACACCTTTTGATGTAAACTTCTATGAGATACACTCTTTAAGAAATTTCCACAAAATAACATTTTGACTAATTGAATGCTTTTTTTGTTGAAGTTAGCAGAAATATTTAATCAGGCCGGAAGCTAGGTCGTAATTCCTAACGACTGATTCTAAGTTACCGCTTGAGTCAAATATCATTTATATAAAAACTGGAGATTACAGCCTGAATAGTTTCGTATGGATGGCTTTCAGCTAAATAAATGTAAGGTCCTTATATTACATGCTGAAATGGTAAGTCACGTGATCATGCAGAATTCACAAAGCAGAACATGAAATGCACGTACATAGCGTGAATGAATGAGTTGTATGATTTAAAGTCAAACCACGCACACAAATCGTACCAAATTGCATTCAGTCTGAAACAAAAAATTCAGAAACTGGCATGCCGACGTAATTGACAAATGGGTATATATACCTCCTTAAACCGGATACTAGTATATTAACACTCCGGATTGAGGAGGTTTCAAGTTCTTGAGTATGATGATAATTATGGATCCGGCAGATGTTTGCGAGTTGCATATGTCATGTTGAAGTTGCATATTGTGCATTTTTCGCGTGTTATGTCAGGACTTACATAAACGGTTGCTGGGTAACTGCCATTGGTGTAATATTCATATTTATCAAATATGCTTGGAAATAATCCAGTCGACTTTTCTCTTTATGTGCGTCTAATCACATTATGCCATCTTCGACTGTGCGCAGTGCCACATGTATCATCCCATTATTCATGATGCTTTGTCACCATCAGAAACCAGCTGCGTAACATTCGAAATTTATTTTCGTTTGAGACGACGAAAATTAGGTTTCTATTCAAATTTTCAACGATGAAGGCACCGTAATTATATCCGAGGTCAGATGACTTGTATGAAAAAATATTGATTGAAAAAACACAGCTTCGTGAACGAAATACAGACCAAGTTGTTGGTGAAGGTTAACCAATACGTTTTCAGTCAGTCGCTTCACGTGTTGCTCAGGGTGATGTCGTGACAGTTGCATCAACGAAAGTTTGTAAACTGATAATCCTCCGGCGGCAAATAGAGATTAACATTGAACATTGAAGTCTTATGTTTCGTTACAGAGCAATCTGGAGCTTTCCGTCTGTGTTTCACTTGGATAATTTTACTAAAAAGAAGAGTCTATTACTGTTAGTGGATATATGGTCGAATCACTGATCATGAAGAGTCATAATTGCCTCTTTGAAGGCTTAGACGGACTGAGGGATCAAATCGACCTCTTTCTGGACGGCGTTTCACATATTTGTCTTGTTTTGTTCCTGCCGATGTCTCGCTTGGCTTTAATCTATCTCACGACAATTACGACCATTTTCCGGTCGATTACTACGCGTGCGACCACTTTACGGCTACGGCGATATTGTCATAATTCCATTACACACAGCGTGTGTGATTAATGGCCCGTTTCTGCCAGGGCTGAGTCAGTCTACTCAAACAAAGAGATTTGCCTGCCGAGTGACGTTAGCGCGACATCGATGTAATTAACTAGACAAACGTAATTAAGAGGAAGATATACCCTGGAAGGTGCGTCCGTGACCTGTAACATCAATGGCCGATATTTCTCGCCTAACTCGTGTCAAGATCTAAAGGAACTCTTGACCACAATCCTGTCTACATAGCCGGGCATAACGTCATAGGTCACACCCGAACAGCTTCATCTTAAGGAACTCTGTCAGCAAGTCTCTATTCCATCCCTCATCCTCATCCCTGAGAAAACACTTTTAGGATATCGGGCGTCCTCCTCCGCCTCCAGACAGTATTATCTTTATATGGCGTGCGGCATCACATCATGGCAAATATTGTTTTTTAAAATTGTATGTCTAAAGTATCTGTCTGTGTAGATTATTGTAGAATGTTTAAAACAAACGTTTATTATTTAGATGTATTCAACGTTTTAACTTTTGAATTTATATGATTGCATAAGAAACTGGTATTGTTTTAAATCAAACGTATTTTTGTGTGTTCAATATTTCAATTTTCGTTTTCAATTTTGATATAATTGTATTAGTAAGTAATATATATATATATATACGCTACGACACACGATAACCATAGTAAGATTCCATGCACACAACATCTATATATACCACACGTTAGGAGATACTCATATACTAGTATTTAAGTACATTCCACAGTTGTTTGTTAGTGCAGGCAGTGTACGATTGGGCACGGAGGTTCAGTGTTATTTTCACAATGGTTCCTGTGAAACATAACAATGTCCTTTCAGCACAATCTCATACTGCCTTAATATTAGTGACAGAAAGTCAAGATAGGAAATAGGGTTCGCTTGCACATGCGCAGACCTTGTAGACTGGGAACGCTGATTGGCTCACTGCGATCTTGATCAGTCTCCGAGGAAACGTCCGAGTCTGCGCGAAGCCTGGAGCAGGAAGGGCGAGCTATGCTTTCTACTGTTGGGTGCTCTTCTTTTGCTATTCTATCAGGCATGCTGCAAATAGAACCATGATTAACATTCGATTAACATGTGAAAGAAAACGTCTTTCCTTGTCGTTTTTTGCTGTAGAAAAATCGATGCGATGATGGGATTTGCGAACGACACGTGTGAAGCGGCAAACAATGTAGTTTTTCACGTGGCAAAAAGTCCCCTGGTTACAGAGAGAACGTGATATGAATCTCACTTATAAGATATCTATAAAACTGAAAAACATTGAATGAATTCATGGTTTATCTAACGTATGTCTTAACTTGTCCGATATCATTTCTTTCATATGTTTTCGCCCTGAGACATTTGTCATGTAATTGAATAAGCATCGCTGTAAGCACAATCAACAACTACAACAGCAAAACAACGTGAGCAAGATGCTCTTTGATCAATCCATGAATGAGTGAGTGAATACAATTGGTTTAATGCCCCTTCGAACAGTATCTCAGTTGGAATGTATGTTTAGAACCCCTGACAGCGTCACAGCACAAGATGTTAACAGATGGTGCTTGCTGTTGCCTTGTCTGGCGCGCGACATTAAGGGGATTAAACAAGGACCTGTCGGCATACAGTGTCTCAGCCACACACACACACACACACACACACACACACACACACGCACGCACGCACGCACGCACGCACGCACGCACGCACGCACTCACACGTGCATACACATCGTTGTATAATCTTGAATCACTTCACCTCACCTGAAATTTATGACAGATATGACCTGCTTGGGCGTACTGGCATAATGATACCATCGGCGGTGCCTAATCGAAAACTACACTCGGGTCAATTGTTCGTCAAAGAACAGGGTGCTGGGGTGGCCCAATCGTCTGAGGCGCCGCGATCGCTGTGCAGAGTTGCGTCCTTTGGGCACGCCAGAAACCTATGATTGAATCGAATCCCGGCTCGCCCCAATTATGTTTCTAGGTTTGTCAGTACCATACCCGTGCTCGTGGGTTTCACCGAAGTGGTAAACGTCTGAGACCTGCATCACTTCGGGCTTTCCTCCCACATTAAGCTGACCGCCGTGATACAACTGGACTACTGTTAAAAGCGGCCTTAAACCCAACTCACTCGTCCAAGAACAGGGAAATCTACTATCGTGTTGATAAATTGACCAAATTCGCTCTAACTATTTAAGACCAATGTCTCAATTTCATGTAAGTGAGTTAGTGAGTGAGCGAGTTGGGTTTAACGCCGCTTTTAACAGTATTCCAGTTATATCACGGCGTGTCAGCTTAATATGGGAGGAAATCCCGAAGTGATGCAGGTTTCAGACGTTTACCACTTCGGTGAAACCGACGAGCACGGGTATGGTGCTGACAAACCTAGAAACATAATCGGGGCGAACCGGGATTCGAACCCACAATCATAGGTTTCTGGCGTGCCCAAGGGACGCAACTATGCACAGCGATCGCGGTGCCTTAGACGACTGGACCACCCGTGCCCCCCATTTCATGTAAGACACAACTTGTATTCTGGACGGGCTCAGCGGTCTAAGGCGTAAAGTTGCGTCCCTTTCGGTGTGCCAGGAACCTATGATCGTCGGTTCGAATCCCAAATTCGCACTGACTACGTCTTTTAGGCCCCAAAGTGGTAAATGTCTAAAACCTGCAGCACTTCGGGTCCCCCCCCACATCAAACTGACATGCCATGATATATCTGAACTACAAAACGGCGTTAAACCCACTTATACAGGTAAGAAAGTTTCCGATAATATTAAAGAAAACCTTCCGACACATGAACCAATGAGCCAAGGTGAGACGACAAGGTCATCTGAACATGATGTCCATGTAAGCTCTTGTCTCCGATTCTCACTTTATTAAGACCTGTCATACAAATACATGTAATTGTTATATACTTACCTATCAAAATTAACTTTAGCTTTAGGTATGTCTAATTCAGGAGGTCCCAGATAGACACCTCCGAACGGGTCATCGTCGTCATCCTCCTCCTCGGCCGGAGATAACACGTTGCAGGTGCGCGAAGTCATACCCTTGTTTCTTAGCAACAGAAAATTACTTATTATGAGTAAACATCTTTGCGCGTCATTTGCTATTTGATGTATTTTGTATGTTTCCTTGGCATGATGGAATATATAGCCATGTAACATCACAGTGAGAAATACCTCAGCATATGACCATTCAAGACAATGGTCAATAGCGTGATCATCAACCCATACTCTCATGGTATAACGTCACACAACTAGCTTGGTATTAACGCAATATAAACCGTTTCGTCTTTGAAGTTGCCTCTTAGAACTTCTCCTATAATTCGAAGAATTAAGAAAGAGTATCACCATACAATTGATTTATACATCGGGGCTCCATTTCACAAAACGATCTCTACTTCTTCTAAATGTGTATTGTTTAGATTTCTTGTTGACACACACTCCATACAAAATTATTATTTACAGAAATATATATATATATCCAAGTTTAGGCATTCATTCCAGATGTTTTCAATTGAAACTAGAAGATACAAAGGTTTACATTTATCCGAAAAAATATGTCAGTTATGTTCTCTAGAAACAGATGACGAATCTCATTTTATTCTTAAATGTGTATGATAACCTAAGGAAACTGTCTATAAAGCAATACTATTGGGAAACCATCTGTATTAAACTGACAGTGAGTGGACAGTTATTTACTGTTACCAGTGTAAAGCAGATATCTTGTCTTGGCAAATTTCTTTATAGAGTATATCAACTAAGAAATAATGAATTTCAGTCCATGGGTATATTCTTCTTCAAGCACCTGTATTGACAGTTTAAACATGTAATGAATGCATTGTAGTGATATGCTGTAAAGATTAAGGTCAATAAAGAATTGAATTGATGCTAGGGTAACGATTTTCGAACGTCTTGTCAGAGAAAAATGAGTTCCGCCTGTAGATTACTCGATAACATATCTATAATTATCGAAGAGCAAATATCCCTTTTGCAAAACCAGGGCCCACTTACAGATTGATTGAGTAAGATTTTATCCCGCGTTTAACAATATTCTATCAATATCACGGTCGGGAACACCAGCATTGAACCCGGGCCTTCGGCTCGAATAACGACCACTTTAACAGATAGGCCACTGTAGCGCTTTGTAGAAGAGGTACAATCGTTACACCATGGAAGCTTTATGAACCTGGGTCTTAGCGGCATGACTTCGGTGACTCCCGTTCTTTAACATAGGCGCAACGTTGTCGCAGCGGTAATGTCGTTTCGTTGAACGATCCCCGAAGCCCCAATCTGTACAGAATCTACATGAGCCTACCTGAGATCCGCTAGCTCTATCACCTCTGGTCGAAGTCTGTCAGTGAGTAATCGGACTTTGGAGGTCCTCGCCGGGGGCGGGGAGTCGGCCCACAGACTCGTGGTGCCACTGACCTCGGAGTACGTGGAGGTGCAGTCAGCCTCAGAGGCACTGGAAGCTGACAGGACATTTCAGCATTAATGATTCAGCATTTTGTCAGTGGCAATATACGTGCATGGTACAGAAAGTTCAAAGTACGGATGATGGGGATGACGACAGCTGGGATGCATACGATGAACGGGAATCTGGGTACAGGATACGGTTAACTGGGGGTATTCATACGATGTAAGGAGGCGGTAGACGGTGAGCTTGGGGTGTAGATGATGTACAGGAGAATGGGAACTCAACCTGATTAAAATCAAATATTTTACTCCGATACGAGTGAGGGAGTTGGGTTTAACGCCGCTTTTAACAGTATTAATGCTATATCCCGGCGTGTTAGCTTAATGGGGGAGGGAATCCCAAACTGATGCAGGGATCCGACCTTTACCACTTTAGTGAAACTTAAGAGCACGGTATGGTGCTGATAAACCATAAGAAACATAATCGGGGCGAAATGGGATTCAAACCAACCATAGGTTTCTGACGTGCCCATGAGACACAACTCTGCATACCGAATTGGTACGCCTTAGACTTAGACATGTGTCTCCTTCACTGATACGATACCTATTGACGCGGAGAGGTTTAGTATCGGAGTAAAGGATCTGATTTCAATGAGATTAACGGGAACCAGGTTGTAGACGGTGTACAGAAGGCGGTAGACGGGAAACTGGGTCTTTGGACGATGTACAGGAGGCGATATAGGGGAACTTGTAGATGATGTACTGGAGGCTGTAGGCGGTGAACATGAGGCGGTGGATCGGGAACTTGGGGTGGAAGAAAGGGAATAGGGTTGTAAACGGAACGGACCATGATGGCCAGGGAACAGCGGGCGGTAGATTGGGAACAGACAACAACAGAAGGGGAACCAGGGGTAGATGAGTAAAAGAATGCTTGGGAACAAGAAGCAAGGGATACGACGACGGGTTACGGGAGACGTTGGGCAGATGGCGCAACGCACAGAGGACAGAAGATGGTGATAGCGAACGGCAGGCAACACACGGCGGAAGGACGATAGAGATGCTGGCACGAGATGTAACCAAAGACGCTGGCACGACCTTCGAGCTACCGTGCGCTACTAGAAACATGGCTACTTACAACGAGATATTTTGCTAGGCGAGACATCCGAGACCCTGAGCTCCAGCACCTTCTTGTGCACGGCGGATCTGATGCCCAGGTCATACGATGACGCCTCCTCGCCTAGCTGCTCCAGTATATGCTCTATCTCGGAGGCTCGCTGCAACAACATCACATCTTGAAAATACGCCTCAGCATCTAGAACGTTACTTCTCAGCTGCAAATCACAATTTAACGTCGAAATGGACGTTTTTAAAAATGCATCCCTCATGCACTAATAAAAAATATCGCGATATTTGGAGACGAATATTGATAGTTACTGATTTGTCTTCATCCGTTATGAACCGGAATGTAAAGTGTTTGGAATACGCAAGGACTGGACTATCAAGGTCCAACTATAGTTCGCTCGTTTCAGTGTATGTTGTTACCGAAACAAGCGAATATCAGTACAGTTTTGTCAATTTAGTACTCAAAATCTTATCGATCTCCAATTCAGAACACATACAGAACATATCATGAACATATGTGTGTCTGGAAAGCAAAAATCAACATTCAACATGAATGAATTGTCATCCCAAAATAGATGTCATAAACGAACAACGTATCAGTGTATTTTCAGAACACAATTACAGTTCCTTGACCATGAGACCGTACTTGCAAAGCTTACCGGGTGTTCACTATTACTGTGAGTGAGTGAGTGAGTGAGTGAGTTGGGTTTAACGCCGCTTTTAACGGTATTCCAGTTATATCGCGTCGTGTCAGCTTTATGTGGGAGGAAAGCCCGAAGTGATGCAGGTCTCTCACTTTGGTGAAACCCACGAGCACGGGTATGGTGCTGACAAACCTAGAAACATAATTGGGGCGAACCGGGATTCGAACCCACAATCATAGGTTTCTAGCGTGCCCAAGGGACGCAACTCTGCACAGCGAATCGCGGCGTCACTATTACTGTACTTACTTGAGCTAAAATCTCTCTTAATTTCCTATTTTCATCTCCTATAGTTCTAATTTTCAGCTGGAGTTCGCTGCTATCTATGGCGTCTTTCTTCGACGTCTTCTTCAGCGTTGCTCGAACACGCGTGTCGTTACCTTTCGGGTTCCGCCGCAGTGTAATCATCTGTAACATATGCCAACATACATACACTGTACCAATACATGTTACATACTTATGTGGTACACAGCATGCGTTAACAGAATGCACACGAAAACGTACATGTTGTCCCTTTGACGTTTGTTGAATTTGCCTTTAAATAATCGAGACTGGAACAGACAATCCAGATTTTCACCTGATCAAAAATGTCATCAGTAAAACATATCTCTCCGATTCGTTAAGATAACATTCCGGTATGACTCAAACACCCTGTGGCCTGACTAGAGGTTTGACTTGCATACACTGACGTACATAACTACTGAGATGATGTCTTTGGCAGGCATGTATTTACATCATCCGCCATCTGGTTTCTTCTCATTTATGTACCATAAGAAACTTCAAGTCATCAGACGTTCAGTAGCGTAGGCCAGACCTATATGGACAATGTAAGTGCCTTAGTGTATTGCTTTAGTAATACCCTGTGGTCCACAGCCTGTAAATGCACAGCTGGTCAAGGCACAGTTGACTGTGATGGGGACTCCCATTATACACAAGTTGTTTTATGGCTTGACGCTGGGGCTCCCTCCAGACTGTTGCGGTTATGTAGGTCTGTCAATTTGTCTTGCTAGGAGCTGAATCTCACCAAACCATAAATAATCTAAGCTGAGAAGGTCCGTGGAGTCGATTGTGTGTGTTTGGTGGTGGGAATCTTTACACGCTGTTTATCGGTCCCTCGTGAAACATATTCGTCCTTATGACGACCAAAAGCGTGTCTGATATTCGGTAGCGGTAACTATCCTATGTAACAACGAAAATGTTTATTTCAACAAGCGACTATTATCTCGTGAATTCCCAGGTTTTATAGGGTGGTTGAGAGATGCAATCATGTGGTTGAGAGAGAGAGAGAGAGAGAGAGAGAGAGGAGAGAGAGAGGGAGAGAGAGAGAGAGGGAGTGAAAGAGAGACAGAGACTGACAGAGAGAGAGTGATACGATTTCAAATTTAACTGATCATCAAAGGTATGATTGAAAATCGTACGAGAGAAAGGTTTCTTTGTGAACGAAGTGTTAACAGACAGGCGGACAAACGATATGATGGATGGCAGGAAACGCTGATAATGATGTCCTTAATATCAATAAACCTGACCGCATATCCTGTGAGTGCCATGTCTTAATGCACTTTCAAAAGAAAACGAAGTACACATTTCCGAATTCAGGATTTCTATAATAGGTAGTCGTTGCTGGTTTACTTGTTAGCATGCGCAGTAAGGCAATGATTGCTTTTGAAAAAAATTAACATCCGTGAAAATTGAATATTTTCTTTACAATGATCCGACAATGGAAGAAAATAACTACTTTGGCTGAACAGGAAAAGCGTCATTGTGACAGTTCTAGGCGCAAGGAAATGGCAGATACCACGTGACACATGGCAAAGCCGTAGTTGATGCCAAGAGCCATTGCCATTGGGCGAACATGTAGGTTGAAACAAATATTGACATTATTGCAGAAACATCATTCATAATTCACTAAGTTCTTAGAACGTAATGCGAAAAAGGGTTATATAATAATGAATATTTGAAATGGCATATTATGAAATGGTATTGGCTCGGTCTGGTCGTTGCAAACTGAAGACTGTGGTAGATGTAGAACTGAACGGAAGCCTAGGTCTTGATCAAGAGTGTTTGCTGACTTATGCACTAAAGAGATGGTGGGGTGAGGTTAAATGGGGGGTTAACGTCGCGTCCAAGATTATTTCACTTATATAGCGACGTGCATGCACGCGTGTGTGAATGTGGCTGCTTGTACTAGTCCGGACTGATTTATAGTGCTAGCTCACTGAGATACCATGCCGCAGTTTAACATGAATACCCCACTCAGACACAGTATACTGACTCCGAGCCGACCAGTCCTTGTTTTAGCCCCTTAATGCCGAGGCCGAGGGTAATATCAAGTACCAACGTCTTTTGGTATGACTCGACAGGGGATCGAATCCCGGACCTTCCGCTCTCAAGGTGGACGCTCTACCACTAGACCATAAAGGCGGTCCACTAAAAAGATGCAGGCTGCACAGCGTCTATATGTTCCGATTGATATAAATGAAACGACAACGAATATATTCGATATGTATAACTTAGCTGCGTCAGTTTTACTTGTTCAAAATGAACGATCAAAATGTCCAGTGGTCTCCTGGCTCAGAATCAACGTCATCGGAATGGTTTCATGTGACTGTAAATATATCCCCGCCAGATGAAGGTGTCAAACGTTAACCTCCTTTGTGAAGTACTCGGGAAAGGGTATGTCAACCTGAAATGACGCCGAAACTACGTCAAGCCTCCGGGAAAGGGTATGTCAACTTGAAATGACGTCGAAACTACGTCAAGCCTCCGGGAAAGGGTATGTCAACTTGATATGACGCCGACACTACGTCAAGCCTCCGGGAAAGGGCATGTCAACTTGAAATGGCGTCGAAACTACGTCAAGCCTCCGGGAAAGGGCATGTCAACTTGATATGACGTCGAAACTACGTCAAGCCTCCGGCAAAGGGTATGTCAACTTGAAATGGCGTCGAAACGACGTTCGTACAATGGCAACATTTCCCTTCCACACCACGACACGACGAATACACCCATCACAAGTCGAGTGGTATATGTTAGCTCGGACGTCACTGGAGCTAAATTCTGTTTGAAAGTAGGCATGAGTTGCTATCAACAAAAGGTCAAACGATGCTGTACATGACAGCAATGCAGTGTAAGTGGTCCATGTCATGACAAGGATACTTGACATACATTGTTATTACCTCTGCATAAACGACATACCATCCCATTTTCCATTCGCTTCACGACATCGTGTCTGCTTGCAATTTAGCTGTCAAACCCCCTTCTCACCGAATTGTATCGTGACAGTTCTATTTTCCAAAAACCAATCTGTTACTGCTTTTCATTTCTGAGTTTTTGGCATGTATTGGTTTTGGCACGACGAACAAGTCAAATTCGGAGTATCATAACCGCAAAAACTTGCCATTAATGGCAGTAGTGGATACTTATATTGGACAGGAGACGTAAAGTTTGACGTCGTCACCGTTATGCATAATTCTTTACATAGATGAAGTGTCAGGAACCAGACATGACATATATACAGACAGTGACGTTATATTACCACAGGCGTATATGGATCCTACAGTGGGGATTTTATGACCATCCATTAGTCTGCTACATGTCAAGGACTTTGGCTCAGCAATTCGTCAGCAATGTAAGCTAGGCTATAACCCTTCTATGACACTGGTCAAGGTGGAACTACGAATGTGGCACAATGCTTCTTACTTAGCTATACAATAAATCCTCGTTATTCCGGAACCTTGGTTAAGGAAACAATTACTGTTATGAATGTCTGAAACTCTTCAAAGGACATTATTCCGCAAACACGTTATCTTCGCAATCGACACAACGTACGTATGGTACCGACAACGATGTAACTTCTCTTTGATAAAATGATATAATGTCTTTTTTGTTTCCTTATCAGAGGAGAAACAGTTTATCGTTGTAATTGTGTTGTTATTGAAATGGAATCTTAAATATGACACTTTGTAAAGGAACAATGTAACACTGACATTATGAAAAGGAACTAGCGAGGAATAGTTTATGTCTGTCTGTCTGTCTGTCTGTCAACTACAAGTCTTACGATTGTCACGTGGAAACAATGATGGAAGTTAGAGATGGAATAACGTGTTCTCATCTATGTACCATGCAAACAACAAGGCTTGAGATGGTGACGTGGAAACAATGTTGGAAGTCAGAGAGGAATAACGTGTTCTTATCTATGTACCATGCAAACAACAAGGCTTGATGGTGGTGACGTGGAAACAATGTTGGAAGTCAGAGAGGAATAACGTGTTCTTATCTATGTACCATGCAAACAACAAGGCTTGATGATGGTGACGTGGAAACAATGTTGGAAGTCAGAGAGGAATAACGTGTTCTTATCTATGTACCATGCAAACAACAAGGCTTGATGATGGTGACGTGGAAACAATGTTGGAAGTCAGAGAGGAATAATGTGTTCTTATCTATGTACCATGCAAACAAGGCTTAAAATGGTGTCGTGGAAACAATGTTGGAAGTCAGAGAGGAATAACGTGTTCTTATCTATGTACCATGCAAACAACAAGGCTTGATGATGGTGACGTGGAAACAATGTTGGAAGTCAGAGAGGAATAACGTGTTCTTATCTATGTACCATGCAAACAACAAGGCTTGATGATGGTGACGTGGAAACAATGTTGGAAGTCAGAGAGGAATAATGTGTTCTTATCTATGTACCATGCAAACAAGGCTTAAAATGGTGTCGTGGAAACAATGTTGGAAGTCAGAGAGGAATAACGTGTTCTTATCTATGTACCATGCAAACAACAAGGCTTGATGATGATGACGTGGAAACAATGTTGGAAGTTAGAGAGGAATAATGTGTTCTTATCTATTAACCATGAAAACAACAAGGTTTATGGAGGTGACGTGGAAACAATGTTCGAAGTAAGAGAGGAATAACGTGTTCTTATCTATGTACCATGCAAACAACAAGGCTTGATGTTGGTGACGTGGAAACAATGTTGGAAGTCAGAGAGGAATAACGTGTTCTTATCTATGTACCATGCAAACAACAAGGCTTGATGATGGTGACGTGGAAACAATGTTGGAAGTCAGAGAGGAATAACGTGTTCTTATCTATGTACCATGAAAACAAAAAGGTTTAAAATTGTGTCGTGGAAACAATGTTGGAAGTCAGAGAGGAATAACGTGTTCTTATCTATGTACCATGAAAACAACAAGGTTTATGGAGGTGACGTGGAAACAATGTTGGAAGTAAGAGAGGAATAACGTGTTCTTATCTATGTAACATGCAAACAACAAGGCTTGATGATGGTGACGTGGAAACAATGTTGGAAGTTAGAGAGGAATAATGTGTTCTTATCTATTAACCATGAAAACAACAAGGTTTATGAAGGTGACGTGGAAACAATGTTGGAAGTCAGAGAGGAATAACGTGTTCTTATCTATGTACCATGAAAACAAAAAGGTTTAAAATTGTGTCGTGGAAACAATGTTGGTAGTCAGAGAGGAATAATGTGTTCTTATCCATGTAACATGCAAACAAGGCTTAAGATGGTGACGTGGAAACAATGTTGGAAGTCAGAGAGGAATAACGTGTTCTTATCTATGTACCATGAAAACAAAAAGGTTTAAAATTGTGTCGTGGAAACAATGTTGGAAGTCAGAGAGGAATAACGTGTTCTTATCTATGTAACATGCAAACAAGGCTTAAGATGGTGACGTGGAAACAATGTTGGAAGTCAGAGAGGAATAACGTGTTCTTATCTATGTACCATGAAAACAAAAAGGTTTAAAATTGTGTCGTGGAAACAATGTTGGAAGTCAGAGAGGAATAACGTGTTCTTATCTATGTACCATGAAAACAAAAAGGTTTAAAATTGTGTCGTGGAAACAATGTTGGTAGTCAGAGAGGAATAATGTGTTCTTATCCATGTAACATGCAAACAAGGCTTAAGATGGTGACGTGGAAACAATGTTGGAAGTCAGAGAGGAATAACGTGTTCTTATCTATGTACCATGAAAACAAAAAGGTTTAAAATTGTGTCGTGGAAACAATGTTGGAAGTCAGAGAGGAATAACGTGTTCTTATCTATGTAACATGCAAACAAGGCTTAAGATGGTGACGTGGAAACAATGTTGGAAGTCAGAGAGGAATAACGTGTTCTTATCTATGTACCATGAAAACAAAAAGGTTTAAAATTGTGTCGTGGAAACAATGTTGGAAGTCAGAGAGGAATAACGTGTTCTTATCTATGTACCATGAAAACAAAAAGGTTTAAAATTGTGTCGTGGAAACAATGTTGGAAGTCAGAGAGGAATAACGTGTTCTTATCTATGTACCATGCAAACAACAAGGCTTGATGATGGTGACGTGGAAACAATGTTGGAAGTTAGAGAGGAATAACGTGTTCTTATCTATGTACCATGCAAACAACAAGGCTTGATGATGGTGACGTGGAAACAATGTTGGAAGTCAGAGAGGAATAATGTGTTCTTATCTATGTAACATGCAAACAAGGCTTAAGATGGTGATGTGGAAACAATGTTGGAAGTAAGAGAGGAATAACGTGTTCTTATCTATGTACCATGCAAACAAGGCTTAAGATGGTGACGTGGAAACAATGTTGGAAGTTAGAGAGGAATAATGTGTTCTTATCTATGTACCATGCAAACAAGGCTTAAGATGGTGACGTGGAAACAATGTTGGAAGTCGGAGAGGAATAATGTGTTCTTATCTATTAACCATGAAAACAACAAGGTTTATGAAGGTGACGTGGAAACAATGTTGGAAGTAAGAGAGGAATAACGTGTTCTTATCTATGTAACATGCTAACAACAAGGCTTGATGATGGTGACGTGGAAACAATGTTGGAAGTTAGAGAGGAATAATGTGTTCTTATCTATGTACCATGCAAACAAGGCTTAAGATGGTGACGTGGAAACAATGTTGGAAGTCAGAGAGGAATAATGTGTTCTTATCTATTAACCATGAAAACAACAAGGTTTATGAAGGTGACGTGGAAACAATGTTGGAAGTAAGAGAGGAATAACGTGTTCTTATCTATGTACCATGAAAACAACAAGGCTTAAAATTGTGTCGTGGAAACAATGTTGGAAGTCAGAGAGGAATAATGTGTTCTTATCTATGTACCATGCAAACAACAAGGCTTGATGATGGTGACGTGGAAACAATGTTGGAAGTCAGAGAGGAATAATGTGTTCTTATCTATGTACCATGCAAACAAAAAGGTTTAAAATTGTGTCGTGGAAACAATGTTGGAAGTCAGAGAGGAATAATGTGTTCTTATCTATGTACCATGAAAACAAAAAGGTTTAAAATTGTGTCGTGGAAACAATGTTGGAAGTCAGAGAGGAATAATGTGTTCTTATCTATGTACCATGAAAACAAAAAGGTTTAAAATTGTGTCGTGGAAACAATGTTGGAAGTCAGAGAGGAATAATGTGTTCTTATCTATGTACCATGCAAACAACAAGGCTTGATGATGGTGACGTGGAAACAATGTTGGAAGTCAGAGAGGAATAATGTGTTCTTATCTATGTACCATGAAAACAAGGCTTAAGATGGTGATGTGGAAACAATGTTGGAAGTTAGAGAGGAATAATATGTAATTATATATCTCCCAAGGACGCAACGAGGCTTGTAATTGTCACTGTGGAACAATGTTGTCAGAGGGGAATAATGTGAACTGTTATATGTTACTAGTAAACAAAGTCGGTTTATGAATATCACGAGGAAACATGTTCACCTAACACAGTCAGAAGGTAAACGATTTAGCCTGATATATATGTACTGGTACGACACGAGGAAACAATGCTAGCTTATCATTGTAAGATGATACCACGTTCACTGATTAGGCAGGGCAGGAACAATGTAACCTTCTATATGTCGGGAAATAATGTTGGAAGTTACATATCATTGTTACAAGGAGGTTATGTTCACTTCCTTAAGTCAGAAGGGACATAAGGAATCATCTTATATTATCACTGATATTATAAACACAGACTTCTTTATTACTTTTACAATGACACACTGTTGATTTTTTTATGGTGAGTGAGGAAGGTGAGTTGTAGTGTTGAAATAGTGAAAGGTATAACGTTACACATGTGTGAACTTACCTTTGGCATAAAGACAAGGCACAGTGTGATTGTTGTACAGAACAGGATACAGAGGCTAATGATGATGAAGAAGGAGTTGGGTTGGTCCTTGATGAGGAAGGACACGGCACCCCCGCATACGCACATAATGACCACGTTGTACACGCTCATGCCGATGTACTTGGAGTCGTTCAACGCGGGGATGCTCACGTGTCGTGTTTCCCACGCCAGAAAACAACCAAATACCTGAGAAATAAATATAACTTTACTGTTTTCATGTTTCTCTATATTTATAAAAAGCACATCTATGAACTGTTTCTGTTAGTGCAAACAATATGAAAATTGCATAAATATTTTACATATTTTACAATTCATTAGTCAGTTTTTTGTGTTAAAATACAAACGTCTGAAGGGACGGTCGGGTAGCCTAGAGGTTAAAGCGTTCGCTCGTCACACCGAAGTTCGATCCCGACATGGGTACAATGTGTGAAGCCCATTTGTGGTGTCCCCCACCGTGATATTGCTGGAATATTGCTAAAAGCGGGGTAAAACTATACTCACTCACTCATTCAAACGTTTGAGCTATTTTGGTTATTGTGACAGTATTGTGTGAGGGGTTACAGAGCTCACACAACCATCCTGGAAATGTGTCACAATACAATGCAATTACACCTGCCTAAAATATTCAGAGAAGACGAAAATCATTCTTTAAACTTATTTACAATGAGCATAAATACGATGCCCCTTTTTAACAGTCCGTATCACCTATTGGTGACCTCTGGATTGTGAACCCTGGCGCATGGGTCTCAACAAAGTGAGACACGTCAGGGGCCTGCGTCACTTTGGGTTTTCCTCCCCCACTATCGATACACCGAGATAGAAATGACATACTGTTTAAAGGCGCACTAACCAAACCCACCAGCTCCATGCGGGAGAGTACATGTGTTCACTTACTAGGAGCAGACCTTTATATGCATATATAGATCCCAACCAGATCTCCATAAATTCGCTCTTGCAGTATTCTAACACAGGTGTTACACTGTAGTCATCATAAACCTGAATGAGAAAAAAAGGAAAGTCATGAGAAACAGGCTTCGAGTAGCTTATCAATCACCCCATGTATATTACAACCTGGAGGGAAATCCCAAACTCAAACACAAGTATTCAGTATCATTGCAAGTGGCATTGCAATTGTCAAAAGTCATTTATGCTAGGGAAGAGTTACATTACTGACATATATAGTTACACACATCTTTCCCCAACAGAAATTACTATTTACATTTACGATCCAGACCTGTTAGAAGAGGCAGAGCCGTCTGTTCGTGTTTTTTCTTGTCGTTTTATAATGACCATAAGTTGAGTTGCTACAAAAAAACGTGCCACTTTGAAGGAGGCCACGAGTATTACATTACTGTAAATCCATCGAGTTCTACAAACACGATCACACTGGAATAGGAGGACAAAACTAATTCAAACCTTATCTCGTTCACCAATTTCTAGTTTATATCGCAGAAACGTTAAGCGGTAACAGGGTATTACCAAAACGTGCCTCCAACCCCCTGACTCAGATTCCCGGTCCCCAGAAGCTGCCGAAGCATTGTGTCCCGCACGACGGGTTGTCTCAGCGCCAAGCAGGAACACCAGACTAAGCTCAAGCTATTGGTAGTGAAGGTGCGATAGTGATGGTGTCTCAGAAGTAATTGAATGTGAAGCTCCATTCCGGCACGGAACCACCGAATACAACACGGGCTGACCTCCCCCTGAGAGCTCCACTCCTGTCGGTATAACCTTCGGCCTTCCAGATAACAGCCGGGTCGAGACTTCATACGTAATACACTCATTGTCTACGCCGGTTAAGAAATGCTCCTATTGTATTTTTTAATTTCCTAGATTGCCCATCACCTTTTTAAGTCCATTTGAAAATTCACCCCAATCTAAATTGCCTGTACATGTGTAGATTAACGTGTGAAAGCTGAAATGCGAGTTAACCACACAACTGTAATTATAGTAAGACAACGACAGTATATATAACTGATGGAATCCATCACTGTCACTACAGTCTACTGCCGAGGTTGATGTTGTCGTGGAGGGTGAAGTCGGAGCTATTTAGTGAGCTAGTGCAGCTTAACATGCCAACATTTAAATGGATATACATTTCAGTATCAGATTTAATACTCTTTGTGACAGCAGATGACAATATCAATGAATGAAAGTAATGGAACGGCTGTCATAGGGTTGAAGCAGGCAACACCATGGTCAAAGCTTGTATTCGTCATTCTGGGTTCGATGCCCTAATTGGGGTCAACATGAAGCTCAATCTTGACACACTCACCTTTACCACTCCCTCAGCATATGTGCTAAATTGTTTTATTTATTTAACCACACCATGCCTTTCACGTTGTCTCCGAGACTGAACGTAATCAATTAGCAAATACATCCATGGTCCTCTGAATTGGGTTGTACACCTGTGCCAGGATGACAGCATCCGGTAGCGCCTACGTCCATCCTGAACAACTCTGAACAACTCACCTCCAGTGCCAGGTCTTTCTCGGCCCTCTCTATGGGGTTGTACGCCTGCAACGATGGCAGCATCCAGAAGCACCAACGTCAACCACCAACTCTCAGGAACTTACCTCCGGCGCCAGGTCTTTCTCGGCCCTCTGTATGGGGTCGTACACTTGCCAGGCCACAAGGATGACAGCATCCAGTAACACCAACACACACACGATCAGAAACAGCTTGTAGTCCTTGATCACCTGGGGACATACAACTCGACCTCAGGAACATCATGAACGGGATATAGAGAGCACATCTGTCACTTAGTGGGAACGTTGGGTTTTTATCTTGGTTTTATAATAAACAACTTTCAATGTCCAATCTATTGAATATGTCAACAAATTCACCCTGATTTACGTCAGCTTAATGTGGATGAAAGCCCAAATTGATGCAGGTCGACGTTTACTACTTTTGTGAAACTCAAATGAACCATGGTGCTGACAAACCATGGCTCAATGACGAACCCACGGCTTGTTACCACATATAAGGAAAGCAGCCCCCTCACCTTCAATCACGTAAAACATAAGGCGTTCAAGGTTCGAGATTCGCTCGGTTATGCCCATTGGTTTGTCAGCACCATACCCATAATTGGTGTTTCACCAAAGTGGTAAACATCTGATATACATCATCCTAGGTTTTCCTCCCGGATAAAACTGACACACAGTAATACATGTATACGACTGTTAAAAACGGGGTAAAATGCACTCAGGTGAACAACTGACTTGCACTTGCATGTGTTTGGGACGGGTGCCACCAGCGGGGCAGGATATCCTCACTGGTATCATCACTATTAGATAGTGATTCACAAACACACGCTCATGATACAGTCGAAATCGTACAATCGACTCAGTTTTTTGACACAATCTTTTTATGATTATAGACAGGGTTTGTGGCTTTTATTTATCATTATATAGAAGCAGCTTCCATAATATGTAACGTTCTTACTAGTAATAAGTAGCATGTAGTCGGTTGGCGTCAATATTCATGTAGATACAAGTACTGATTGCTATGTGACCGTTTTGCCGATGATATGTGTGCCCATCTATCTCTTCGAACATTATGTAAGTTACATACTCAACAAGAAAACGTAGGGATCATCAAAAATGTATATATACCGTCCACATGTAGAGAAACTCAGTCTTCACTACAAAAGGTATATCGAAAAATATTCATATCCCTAACCTTTTTCGTTTAGTATATCGTGACGTACAGTATAATGTCCTAGATCAACACAGGGTGTGCACGTTTTGGTATGGTTCTGATGTACCAAAGTGTTTATCGTAGAGAATCTGAGAACGAAACTAAGGATCAGCGGATTCTGGAAGAAGAATAACTGTGCTCAGTGCATTGTGGCTCTTGGGTCCATTTGGTGTACTCCGCTATCTACACAAGTCAACGGGCAACAAAGGAGAAGTGATATGACATGAGTTTACTTTTAGCCAGATCCTGCAGCATGTGGTTCAGGACAGGCTATTGAGTTACTCGGGTAGAACCTTTCACAAATACATAAATGTTATATGTTACCATTTACATAAATGTCGAGAGTGCCGCGGGTTTGCATTACAAGTTTTCATGTGTAATCCCGTGAACTTACGTAGATCAAACATGTGTTTTCCCCTGAGATATGAGGGAAGTACGGCGTCTTGTATTGCTGGGTCAAGGACACCGGCTCCCCCGGAGGATGCTGAATTACGTCTTGCAAAACGTTAAGACAACACGAAAAGAAGAGTCCTATGCTTGAAACTGGTTGCCACCCCCTCCACGGTATTAAACGGAATATGAAAACATATTAAAGACACGAAGAAACCACTCGACTGACACCAGGACATAATTAATGTTCAACATGGCTCGATACTTAATGAAACTATGGTCACGTCCGTATGTGACCAATTTCAATCTTTGTAAAACACCAACATAACCTGACGGCTTCAAGAGGTAAAAAAACGACGTCATTCTCTACCTATTCATCTAAGCGATAAGTACTATAGAAGTCACATTAGGCGTAACCGTTTCACAAATTGGACATACACGTACCATTATTGTCAATCCTGGACTTCTCTATAGAACGTCAAGATCATACACCACGAAGGCGTTCCAATAGCACGCATGAGAAGGTGGAATGACGGTAAAATACACATCAGAGTAGCTAGCTCCGTACTAAAGTGTATTCAAATTGGACGGAACCAACAATAAACCAAGCACAGCCTTCACCAGTCTCACAATTGACAACAAACAATATTTCATGTTATGGGACAGAGAATTTCTGATGTGTAAAGCGCATCATTGTGAACTAACTTTACAGTGCCGCGTCTAGACAGCCCAAACAGGCGGAACACTAAATCTCTCATTTTCTCCACATAATGCTGCTAACATTCTCTAATGCCAGCTTTATACAGGATTGATCAGGCCGTAAATATCCTTGACTTAAACTCAGCATGATCGAAATTTAAACATGGAATTCCGTTTTCAGTTAGAAATCGTTATTGAGCCCTGTGAAATGCCAGAACGCGATGCACATACTGACATAATCTATAGTTTAATTACCACCAGCAGTATGCCTATTGTATTGACCATCTTTGATGTACACGTTTGATGAGCAGCTAATGCAGTTTTGAAACATGTCGTAAAATGTTTTCCCTTGTAACTGGAGATTCACGAAATTGAATTATCATATTCACACATTTATTGAAGTAATTGTTCGTTATTTTTCCCATTTCGACGTGGGCGCTAGGGATACGGTATAACTCCGTGAAATGAGAGGCTGTGAGCACCGATCGCTTTACACTCCACTCGCAGATGGGACGACGTGTTGCTGAATTTGTTCTCATACGATGTTCTGAGGCAATTATTTTGTGTGCGGCCAATTAACGATGAGGTTTTATCTTTTTCGAACATCGCCATTCTGTCTGAAGGGATAATTCACACACGACATCGAATACGAACATCTTAAAAATATACTGTTACTGTACAATAAAGACATGGCGAACACCATTTACGATACAGCATCCCTTGAGATGAAATGTCCACTCACAATAAACTTGTCGCATGGTTGCTCTAGCAGGGAAATGAGAAGTGCTAAGTGGCTGTGATGAGTGGAAGACTCAATGGTAAACATCCATTACAACCCCTCCCCAGTCCCTCACCCCACAAACCTTTCTGAGGTCATCGCGCCTTTCTAAAATTATGCCCTATTTTCCAAATCGGTCGCATATTTTTCTGCGTGACCTGTATATGAATTTACGGTTATATTGTCGTTTAACGAGGAACTACTACACCAGATACGTGGCCACGGGCTGGCCATCGCTCCTTATCCAGCCGCAAGTAATGACTTAATTGGGTGACCGGAAGCGAATAAATCCCAGCATCCCTTCCATATCCGGCGCTTCTTTGTGATCGTGCAGTTTTACCTTTTGACGCGGGCTCTTCAAGAAACCCCAAAAAAGATTACACTTGAAATTTTATAACTTCATGCATCAATTTTGTAGGTTACTGTTCAACCTGTACCTCCTGAGAATTACATTAGCTGAACGTTTCTCCTAGTTGCGATGGAGATCGTTCACCCTTCAATTGACGGCGCTCATTGCGGGATCATACCGCATCGCTAAGCATTCCTCGGAAGGGCTATATATAGCAGTTTGTCCATTTCATCTTTACGATCAATATACCACAGATTAATTAGCTTATCAAATTAAAAAGTATTTGTCGATTGCTCCGTGAAGGCCAGGAATTACCCAATCCAGCAGTGTGGTCAGTCACGTGATACATCATTCAGAGCCCAGCTGAGGTTGACAAGGGGTATAAATCACTTTGATTCTTCCGATAATATAATTTACAACCCCAGAAATACCAACCAGTCACGGTATATTACACGGTATTCTTACTTTACGGAGAAATAAGATGAATATTCCCCATGACTACATTCAGTTACTCATTGATCCAAAATTCCCTGGATCAAACAGTATCATTAAGGACCTTCTGACTTCCCAATTTCTGCTATTACATTAGTGGGTGTGAACGGTTTTACGCCGCTTTTAGCAATATACAAGCAACATCGCGAGGGAGAGAAAAGGGCTACATATCATACCCATTTTGGAATCGAACCTAATTCGTCAGCATAGCGGGCGAACGTTTGAACAACTTGACACAGCAACTACCTTCTGTTAAATAACGTTCTAATTCATTTTGAAGGGAGCAAACTGACAAGGCCTCTACTATGTTACAAAATTAGTGCCACAGTCATCTGGTTTCTCTTAGGCTAAAGACTCCTACTATTCAAGACTGTCTGTTACTGCCAATAGTTGGTGTCAGTAATAGAGTAACACACAAGTGATTATTGATGTGTCCCGCCACCCAGCACTGTCTATTATTATTACAGCGTTGATGGTACGCTAAGCATTGACGACTGGTACTTTGTTGGTAAACGCTGTGTTTCACGTCCATACCATTTGGAACATTGCTCAACGCTATGGCTCATCATGGTTCTACGGCGGGACAAGAGCAGTCTCGGCTCGCCTAATGACTTTATTGATATTTATAACATCGCTTCCCAAATGGAAAAAAGGTATGAAACACCAAAGTACGATAACCGCAGGCGATAAGGATGCAACACAATTAAGTGTAAAATCTAATATGGTCGACATAGCGGAAAATCACGGATTTGACATCAACAGTCTTACAACGCTTTGATACTGACATAAGCATTCCGGCGCCGGTATAGAGGCAGGCCCCTGAGCACGCAATTTTAGAATAACAGCCCATATATAAGTCCTTGATCGTTGCTGTAAATCACCTTGAGCTAACGTCGGTAGATCGCTGGTATGTTTGGTAGGCGCCCGAACATAGTTATGTGCTTGTAGACACTGATTTCATGTTAAAGTGTAGATAATCAATTACTCTGAATACCATTACCTTCCACTTAGAGTGTCTGTTATAAGATATATACATGCCTCTAAAGCTTTAATGCTTGTAAATAGCTTGCACGCGAGCGAGGCCTTCGTTTTCTCGGTGAAAAGTCGACCAATGATACACCGTCGAGTATGCAATAGGTCGTGCTTATCTACTTCTGATTGATATTAAATGTAATACTAGTAATTATTAAAATAGTGAAATATCATTGGCGTTTTGGGGCCAACATTGAAAATGAAGACTGTTTACTTTTACGTGTGTCAGCCAATTTAAGCATGTGAAAAACTACTGCCATATGCTTCTGCGTTTCAACAATTATCAATAAATGTCATATCGGGAAAATGGGGAAGAACACTTTTCAGATCGGATATGATCAGTAATGCCTCCAAGTTAAAGTGTCTTTACACAGACCCATTGATAATACTCTGTTCGATAAAACACGCGAGACACTGACATGCATCCGGGCCATCTGAGCCGAGCTGATTATAACCAGAAAGTCTCATCGGAATGGAGAATGAACATTCCTTAAAAACCAATATTAATCATAATGCAATTTCGATTTTATTATTTCAATATCCTAGTCGAGCTTATACTTGAAACAAATGTTTTGAAAACAAAGTAATAAAACTGCTTGGAGCTATTTCAATTTTCCATGTCAATAAATCCCCAACAAGCAACGGCATGTAACACTTGTACTTCCGCATTCTCTGCATGGTGAAGACGCGTGGCTCCATCATACTGCCACACGGAGCCATGTGCTTTTCATAATTCTGAATCTGAATATAACATTAAGCACAGCATAAAATCCTCATCTGCTGGTTCGGTTTGGTTCAAGTGGGGAGAATGATAAAATACGTAACCTATATCGATTTCTGCCTTTGGAGGAATGCGTAACATAATGGCATGGTAGTTGAAGACGCCAAAATGAAATCTCTGTATGAAATCAAATATGGAACGACTCAGTTGCAAGGTTTACGTAAGCAAATAACATGTTTGGGATATCTTAACTTGTATTTCTCAGATGTATAAAAATACTATTCTCCATGCATGAGTGAGTGAATAACTATGATTTTTACGCCGCTTTTAGCAATATTCCAGCAATACCACGGCGGAGGACACCAGAAATGGGCTCCACATATTGTACCCATGTTGGGAATCGAACCCGGGATTTCCGGGTGACGAGCGAACGCTTTAACCACTAGGCCACCCGACCGCCCTCTCCATGCATGATACTTAAATAGCAGGTATATGAGTATGTATGCCTAGGCATTGCAAACCTCACTTCTATGGATTCCATAGTGATAATGAATATTGCAGTACGATATTTAAAGTGAAATCTCTGAGGTTTTGCGAGTAGTCATGTGTTGAGGAATAGAAGACATGAGGACACCTGTAATTCTATTTGTAATATCTCGTGTGCTTTCTACTGACATAGATACAAATGCATCTAGCAAAGGAAATAGGAGCGTAGAGGTTCTGCTTCAAAATCCCCAGCGCAATACAACTCTCCTGAGAATGAGGGATTGTGGGACAAAACAGGAAACACTTTCGTACAATAATTATGGAAGGTGATTGGTTTATAAGTGAAATCGAAAAAAACAATTGAAAAATTGCCCTGGATTGTCTTGATATGTATATTTTAAAATTTACATAAAGAGTTCACCAATAGTTATAACACCTATGTTTCGAATAAATGATAGATAAGGTAACGTTTTGACAACCAAATGTTAATTTCAATTCAAAATCTTAAATCCAAAGTGTGCATAGTGTGGTCTAACGACAAGCACTGAGGTACAGTTGAACACTTCTGACCAGGAGTGCCTATGTAGGAATTATAAAGAAACATCGAAATAATATAGAAAGTGTATATACTTAGTCACAATGATAATGACATATTTGCGTAGATATAGACATTCAAATTGATAACCTCACTAAGGTTACTGACGTACCAAGTGAAGAAGTCAACGCTATCAAGAATCTATACAGTAACTTCTTTTAGTTGACCAATATCAGAATATGCGGCGAAAGTCTGGGATAAATGCTCCGCCTTTAATGAAAATAGACTTGAAGAACTACAGTTTGGAGCAGCAATGATAGTGACTAGCCGTAAAAAGGTTATGCGCTGATGGAATAATCAAATGAGGTATTATTCCAAGTATAGAAAGAATTCATTTGGCGATAAGCAGTCATCATATCAATCAATCATGACATGATAATAGTCTGTTCAAAAATACATCCCTGGAACCAAACGTTTCCAATAATGGTATACTATTGAACCATGTTTCTGTTGCTACTGATACAACAGATATTGTCAAGTTAGTATTGTTACATCGTCACGCCCTTCGCTAACGTATCACTACTATATCTGTCAAATGGTTAAATATTAGCGGTACTGCACATTGTACATATTTGAACATGTTTCATATTGATGTTATAACTCAAACAAGACTGTGCAAATTTCATTGATGTCATAGTCTTGATATGCCAAAACGGAGATGATCTCGTAAATGGATAACTTTTGTACAATCTAATTGTGTTTTGTATATAAACTGTATTGATTAGATATAGGCTACGGTATTCTTGCACTACCAAATACGTAATATGATTTTACGACTCAACAGGTTACCGTTCACATGCGCTCTGTCATGTAAGCCAATCTGACGGCAGTGATTGAAACAAATACCGCCATTCATTATACGTTTCCTCTGCCTGATTCCCAAACTTCTGTGTAATGGCGCTCAGTGTGCTTGGTGATACATGCACCGTCGGCACTAATGGCCTATTTGAGACTAATCAGATACACAACAAAGGATGAATTTACCTTCTTATTGAGTTTGATGTTGGTGAAAATAGCGTGTACCCTCCACGTCTTACTGAACATGGCCCCAAATGCTAAAGTGAAGCCCAAAGCTAGCACCCAGGCACGGATCTGGAAGAAAACGTTACATGTTAAGGCTGTGGTGAAAACAGTGTTACCACACCTCATCTGATTTAACGCTGGATTGGTGTCAGGAAGCGATGTGAAACAACAACCTCGTCTGATCTAATGACCCACAGAGAACATCGTGTTAGCTGCCACGACTTACCAAAGGATCACAACAGATAGGCGACCTGCTCAGCCAAGCTGGTGTAACAAGGTTATCACGCTCACACAAAACACAGAACATGTCTCAAAGTAAGATTAGGACGAGCATGTACTATAGATACCAGAAGGTTGTGATCAAATAATGTTAGCAGTCGAGTTACATTACATTATGTTGTATTGACGAGTCTCAGACCGCATTGAAGTTGAAGTTAATGGGGTCATTACGGTCAGATAACACGTGGAAACTTCTGTCGCGGGACTCAAATGAGAATATACATCTACACAAAAATGCTTCTGAGGCTGCACCTAATAGAATGACATACGGAACAGCGTCCTTGCCATTGCATTTGTTTGTAATGTGTTACCAAGGTCGAGGAATACACGCAGGAGTATATTGACTGACAATGAATTGAATATACGGGTAGTTTACGCGTATCTGTTTGATATAATGACCGCACATTCCAGGAACTGTTCTTCTCAAGGCCAAGCAGGTATCTGAAGAGGATGTTAATGAGGCATTGAAATAATGGCGCCTATCTATAAATCAATTAGAAGCTATATACACCTGACAGGCTCTCGAAAGATTACCGACATTTGTTTTGCATAGCGTACACTTCATATTAAGGACAACGGTTTTTTCATTCCTGAGTTTATCGCGCCATTATATAATCAATACATGCACTCTTAACAAACTGATTCTGGTCTTAATATTTATTCAATCTTATGGTAATTTGTTTACATAAAATTCATAATTTATATCCTTATGTGATTGATCTATAAGATAAATATAAATATCGAGTGTTGAAAAACACAAAATGAGACCAGGAGCCTTGACGGTTGTTGAATGTCCCTAAGTCCGGACGTAACACAATGTGCCCTCCATTAAATATTATTCGAGGAGATACATAAAACCATCAATGTTTATTGGGAAAATAAACATGTTGTTCTGAAAATAATATCGAAAGCGGGAGTCTGTCATGGATGCAAAAATCACATGAGGCATTGACATCGACCTCAGGTGATTCGTCTCCACTCAGCTTTTTTTTTTATGTCATACTATATTGGCCAAAGCAACATCAATGCGCCATGCGGAAAATATACAGGAATATTTATGCAAAGACAGTCTGACATGTTACACGTACATTAAATATAGCAGGTTTTCTTATTTAAAATTGACATGTGAATCTTAAGTATACATGTGTATAATATATAATATTATGATACTGTGGACGTACTGTATGGGTAGACTGTACACATATGTATGCTGTTCTACACAGGTGTGCCATGATATATTCGAAAATGTATTCTGTAACTGATTATAAAAAAACATTAATTTATTTCCAACGAAGAACATGTCATGAGAGTCTCTATGGAGTGCAACTGTGAAGCAACATTTCGAACATCTTTGTGTAGTTAGTTACATTTTAACGTTGCTAAATGTGTGGGAAAGTACCATTTCGTTACCAAAGCAAGATTTTACGAATTTTATAAATAAGAATGCAAATGTTTCAACATTATTGATACTGGTAAAAAAGTACTTTTCCATCAATTAGGTGTGAAATCAACGCAGTTCACTTCAACGTATCATAAATATGTTAAATCTATTTGTGACATTTCAGCCTAATTCAAAACATGTTCATAAATTATGTTTCACTCATATCTGTAGTCTTTTTTCCTTCCTTTCGTGAATTTCATCTGCGATTTGAGTATGAATGTTTCTAGTGTAGTCATAATAATCATTGTTATATCTATCAACAAATCCTGGTTTCAATCATCATCTAAATTTGTAAAAGTGAATGAAACATTTAGCTCACCTGACACAAATAGCGGAACAATGAAGGGGAGACAACTCCACCGTCCGTTCCCAACAGGAACACACTGAGGTAACACAGGATACATCCAATGATAATCAGGTTGTTCATATTTGGACTCGACATCTTGATATATCTAGAAAAAGACATGATAAAATTGGTCACAATGGGTAAATAAGGAACAACTAAAACATGTGTTTAATCAGCAGAAATCTCTATTCAATCTCCGAGTCCATTGTACGATTCCGACTAGATGATAAGCATGTTCTTATGAATTACTATCTTACAGTGATGACCCCAGGTGTTCGCCAAGAAATGTTGAGGTCATTCAAATTGAGACACCACATTAACATCGCCGTGACATAATAGGGAGTGTTGTACAAAGATTTGTGTTTGTTTGTTGTCTAAGCCATACTCAGCAATATTCCAACAATATGACCGCGGTATGCAAATAATCGAGTCTGGACCAGACAATGCATTGATCGACATCATGAGCATCGATCTTCGCAATTGGGATACAACGACATGTATGAACCAAGTCGGCGAGCCTGACCACCCGATCCCGTTTGTAACAACAAGATAGTTTGCTGAAGACCAACTCTAACCCGGATCTTGACGGGTCTGTAACATCGAGGTTAATATTTAGGATACATAACGTATGACTAGGCGTTTCTTGAAAAGTCTCAATCTTTGTGAATGATGTTGATTTCACAGCCTTTCACTCAACTGCTCATTCTTTCTGCAGAAATTCTGCAATATCCAGAACTCACTAAGGTGTGTATATTTGGCAAAAAGCCAAACTGTTTTCTGTGTATGGCCAGATGGTACGACTATGTTTGATAGGGGAATAATATTATATTTTGTTGTTGTTGAAAGAAGTGACCAAATACAGCCAGAGATCCATTCTTTGTTATAAAACATTTATTATAAAAACACAACCAACCCATCTTCCAAAAATGACTTGCTGCATCAGGATCATTTGGCCTATTTCTTATTTTCTAGTTAACTGGCCGTGTTCGGAGTACGTGTACGTGGACATTTTGATGTGACTATGCATGACTTTTGATCCTTTGACTACATGATTGAGCACGTCGAGAGGTGACTGGAATGGCACGCATTAATCAAATCTGCAAATTGTATATCACGCTTGTTAATTCTCCGCTAATAATCTCTTGGTAATCGGCATCTGTTTGCAATATCAATATTTCTATTTGTACAGTCCTACCTAAACTGCCGTTCAAAAGAAAGTGTACACCCATGTTTGATGGTGTCTAAAATGAAACGGACAAGACATGGTTATTTGATGGTGATGTGTTTGAAACGGGTATCATAGTTGTGTTGTGGACCTCACGTTTCCCGACCGCCTCCGTGGTCTAGTGGTAGAGCGTCCACCCGGAGAGCGGAAGGTCTGGGGTTCGATCCCGGCCGCGTCATACCAAAAGACGTTAAAAGATGGTACTTGTTGTTACCCTGTCTGGCGCTCGGCATTACGGGGCTAAAACAAGGACTGGTCGGCTCGGAGTCAGTATACTGTGTCTGAGTGGGGTAATCATGTTAAACTGCGGCATGGTATCTCAGTGAGCTGGCACTATAAATCGGCATCAGTCCGTACACAGCCACACAAACACACACACGTACATGCACGTCGCTATATAAGTGCAATAATCTTGGACGCGACGTTAAACCCCATTTCACCTCACCTCAAGTTTGCCGTCTTTCGGTGACGTTTTATAATATTTGTATGTTTTGGTCAAATCCAAGTTTCAAATGTACACATTGTTTTTCCCTCCAGTTAAGTATAATTATTCTTACAGCAGGGTTTCTTGGTCAAATCAAATTTTCAAGTGTTTTCTTTCTTGAGCCTTATGTTATGTTAATATCAACCGAAATGTTTTTTGCTTAATGAATAATTGATTTGTATGAGAGCTACCTTTGTCCCCTTATAGTTCACAACATCCTACACGCTTTCTATCATAGAGTCGACTTAGCGAGTCAACCTCGTTATGCATGACAATGACTGAGCTATAGAATATAATTTTACACAGGGGAACAACGTTTTACGATTTATTAAATTGCAATGTCTTGCAGTTGGGAAAAGAGCTCTGCAACGGCACACATATCGGAAAAGGCAAATTGATAGAAAACTATTAATTAAATCCATTTACGTTTCCTACTTCGTGACCAGTGTCGATGCGGCATCCATTATTACAATAGCTGCTTGGACATTAGAAAACAGAGACAAAGGTTACTTGTTCCTTACGTTCAGTACATCACACAAGATACAGACATATATGATGCGTTTTTAAAGATATACAGTAGGTAATTAGATTCTTGAGTAAAACATCGCCTTCATCAGGAGCTTTGGTTCCCGGCTGATTACCATACCATCTTTGGCGGCTGTGTTCTCTGCCTCAAGTTCTGTATCACCCACACCATGACGCTCACATTGCCAAAGAGCGGATCACCTTATTTGCATTTCGCTTAAGGAACTAACCCTTCGGTAATCACACACGTGGCGGCCCCGTCAGGTCATCAATAATGTCTTTTCTGCTGCACTTTGCGCTTTAATCAGGCCACAGACAATTGCCTGTCACTTTAACAACTCACGCAGCCACGAGTAGGGCCACAATCAAAGCAATTTATAGTCACCGGCTCAACGAATCCAGCAAACCAGCTGAATTTTTATGTGCAACTTTAATGCCAACCAACTTGCAAAATCTCAATCGGTATTGCCGGGGCCCAATCTCGGAGGAGTGATTTTTAGAAGTTTATGAAAATTTTGATTTGTTCAAGCGCCTGGGGCTGACGGTCTGAAATGTGTTGAAATCTGCATTTAGTCTTCCTAGCATTAACCCGTATTGGTAACGACATAGGATTTACGTGTAGAGGTTCAATAGTGAGACCTCCTTCTGAAACCGGCGATTTCTGACAGGCAGGAATCAATTGTAGCATTTTAGATCCTATTATGCCGCATATTGACAATAAAATCCAATAATTCATTCGCCTTAGTCGCTGGATCGGCATTATGTCTAATAGCAGCTTGATCGACTGGGCAATTGGAAGGCAGTACCCGCTACGTCTAAGGCCTCTGCGAACTAGTTTAATACGGTGGAATAACGACCGCGAGGGCTTTGATTTTTTCTACGGTTTATGATAGGCCAGGGACGTTATACCCTCTTTGACAAAAACTCTAATCTTAAACGTGCATAAGATCTGTCAACCTTCTAACGCTGATCTGAACTTTACAGCTCCTTTCAAAGTAAGATATGATATACCGGCCCATGCTTCATCAGTTGACTGTCGTACTCAGCATGGTTTGTTGCAGGGATTTTTAAGCTTAACGTTCTAAATGAAATTTCGCCGTTTTCTCTTCCAGTGTTAACCCAATTATCAGCTAATATGCAGTTTTATAAGGGCATGGATAATGTTGTTTGTGTTGAGGCAGCATTGATCAGGAAGGTTTTAATGCTCTTATCACAATATTGTTACACATTCCCCTGAGATGGCTAATTGCTTCTGAATAGTGTCCTTTTGTAGACGTTGCGAAATGGGACATCGGTTCAGGTCACTATATTCCCCTCTTGTCGGACAAAAGATGACCTGCTTTATTCCTGAAAGTGGGAGGGTCGGATGCTTGATGGTCTGGCACCAACGTTGGTGTCCCGCATTACAACATCAAACTTAATCTGGTATATTTGCCAGTCATAATCAAATACATTTGGCCTTCCGTAACGACACATCGAAAGGTTACAGAGGAGTGGATCAATGTCATGCAATTCTTTGCTCCTCGTCAAATTCGACACGAATGGCGCATTTCATTGGAAGGTTCGCATCAAGGACCGCATAATATTAGATTCCAGTAGATAAGGGCTCGTCTTGAGCGGGATATAGGAAGCGATCTGTCTCCGACGTGAGAGTCGCTGTCTGGATGGAAACGGAACAACCACTGATCAGCACTGGAGGGCATATCTACTTCATATATATATAAATATATGGACATTTGTTCTGAAACCAAACACCAAAGCCGACAAAGACTAACCATTTTCGAAGGAATAACTAACACAGAAACACATCTCACCTGTGTCTTCTGTACAGAATGTTGAGTGTCAGAAAGCCCACTGCCATGATGATACCGAGGGCAGCCAACACACACAGGCTACTGTACACGGCCACAGACACCCTGCGCATCTCCGGGTACTCAATGTTCCGGTCTTTGGGAGGCCCACTTCCTGTTAAAATTGAAATATTAAAACTTGTCGAGTCTTATCCGTAAATAAGTTCTCAATTTGATAGCTCTACATAAAAAATAATCAGTTTGATTTCGGATTCCGATTATGTCCACGCTCATCAATCATACATAATAAGATATATTTGTGGTGTCGGTCAGATTTAACACTGACCAGTATTTCAGTATGTCAGCCTGACTTTGTTCGAATAGTGCCTCTGTTCACCGAACAGTGATTGGGTACCCGGTAGGATGAAATGGCAGTGTGGTTCTTAACCTTACTCACCTAACGGGGAGCTGGGGATGTATACTCCCTAGGGAGCTGAGAATGATTGTTGAGTGCACACTGATCCGTTGACCGGGGTACTTCATGTCTAAGCACTTAGAGCATGCTTATGCATGGAGTACAGCTCTATATAAATGGAATAGTTGTAGTATTAGTAGTAGTAGTTGTAGTAGTAGTAGTAGTAGTAGTAGTAGTAGTAGTAGTAGTAGTTGTTGTAGTATAAGTATTAGTAGTAGTATTTGTAGTAGTAGTTGTAGTAGTAGTAGTCGTAGTAGTACAACGCTGTATAAATGGAATAGTTGTAGTAGTAGTAGTTGTTGTTGTAGTAGTAGTTGTAATAGTAGTAATAGTTGTTGTAGTAGTGGTTGTAGTAGTTGTGGTGGTGGTGGTGGTGGTAGTAGAAGTACTTGTGATAGTTGTAGTAGTTGTAGTAGTAGTTGTAGAAGTAGTAGTAGTGGTGGTGGTGGTGGTGGTAGTAGTACTTGTGATAGTAGTTGTAGTAGTAGTTGTAGAAGTAGTAGTAGTGGTGGTGGTGGTAGTAATAGTTGTAGTAGTAGTAGTGGTAGTAGTAGTGGTAGTAGTAGTAGTAGTAGTAGTGGTAGTGGTAGTGGTAGTGGTAGTGGAAGTGGTAGTGGTAGTAGTAGTAGTAGTACTGGTAGTGGTAGTGGTAGTCGTAGTGATAGTAGTAGTAGTAGTAGTAGTAGTAGTAGTAGTAGTAGTAGTAGTAGTAGTATCCTGGGAGGAAAGCCCAATGTTAGGCAGGTCGTAAATGGTCACCACGTTGGTTAAACCTACGATCACGACTGACAGACCAAAGACCATCAACATGGATTCTGGATTCGAACATGGGACAAGCTGACCCTGGCAGGAGCAAAGAGAAACGCCACCTTTGACCACTTGCTTAGAATAGAACCATTTCCAGAATCATATGAACTCTCTACCATGAGTCCATTGTACGATGATGAGCATGTATATATTATTCACTATCAGATGTTGATGATGCCAGGTGTTCACAAAACGGTGAAACAGAGAGGCTGTATAGACTAATCGTAATCGTGTCACCTCTCCACTGGATTTCACGGTGAAAGTCGAGACTATCTGTTGAGGCGTGGTATTCACCTATATCCACCATTTTCCCATCTGGATAAACATAAACGTCAAAGAATTTTCAGAAAACCAGGTAGTGAGTGAGTGAGTGAGGTGATAACATGTTAACACTTGTGCTAAACTGGCGGGCAAAAGAAAGCACGCACCCATGTTTAATGGTGCCTGACAATTAAACAAACAGGAAAAAGTTAAGTAAGGATAAGAATTTATGGATGAACAACTTCTTTATTACAATTAAGAGCGACGTTTCGGTGTAGGTTCTAACACCTTTATCAAGCAAGTGATTTACAGAGTGAGGATGGCACTTCTTAATTGTAAAATAGGAGTTGTTCATCCATAAATTCTTATCCTTACTTAGTACTCCAACTTCTAAATGCCTATCAAAGAAGGACAAAGTTCTTCGATGGTGATGTATTTGATGCGGGTGTCATAGTCGTGTTTTTGACTTTCAGTTTGCAGCGTATCAGCGACTGTTTTCAGCCTAGAAACGATTTGATAACGTAAGTTTTAGTCAAATCCAAATTTCAAGTCTATACTTTCTTTGGCTAGTCAGTTTACGATAATTATTGTTACAGCAGAATCGCCACTATGCAAGAATGAACCGACGTATCCACGTGAAGAATAGAACACAAAACATCAGTATGACAAAGGAACCGACGTATCCACGTGAAGAATAGAACACAAAACATCAGTATGACAAAGGAACCGACGTATCCACGTGAAGAATAGAACACAAAACATCAGTATGACAAAGGAACCGACGTATCCACGTGAAGAATAGAACACAAAACACCAGTATGACAAACGAACGCATTACCTACAAGGCTACCCGCTAAAGATATATATTTTTTAGTCAAAAGATGTTTACGTTAGTAAGTAATGTTGCAGGTATAACACGGCCAATAATTTTGTATCCCTGATATTTGTTTTCAACAAACACTCAACATTCCTCACCTGTGATTTGCCGGATGCGGATCTGCCCGAGACGATCGCCATTGTTGAATTGAACCCTGCCCTTGAGATATACAAGCAGATGAGTATATCGTTGTGCAGATGCATCTTCATCACATTTTACAGAAACTCTTTATGACACATCTAACATGAGAATTTACCAACAGCTAATCTCTCAAATGTGATATTAAAGTTTACAAACTACCAAAAAAATATTTTTCTCTGAAAGGGTCTATTTTAATTGTGCTTGTGTGATCACGATTTCTACTATATCAACTGACAGGACAAAGGTTTTCAATACAACCACCTTGTAATAGCGTACTTAGCTACTGGTGAAAGAAACGATGACGATTATTCCTTTGACATTTCGTGCACGTCAGTCTTTGATTATTGATAATCCAGCTGATTTAGGCATTCTTACAATGTTATTTTTTTCTCACACATCAAGCGAGCCAACGTTAGATTGCGTTTTACTTTATATAACCTAAATCTATATCATCCCTGCGGCAAATGCCAAAACCTGGAACTTTATACACGATTACATCAGTGAAAAAGAAAATTCCAATCTGATCGTCGGTAACAAAGTCCTACTGAAACGGATATTACAACATAAGAAATGTCAGCAAACAGGAAACAGCGATTTTAACCCGCCTTAAGTAATATCCTGATTCATCAGTAAGGAAGAGATTCATAAGCTCACATATAATCTGTTCAAATCATTCAAACATTCGGTTTTTCATTAATAGAGCTTAGAAAAATTATTATTGTGGGCGATGACAACACATTTTCCGAATGTTTCAGCACAACGGCGTTTTGGGAGCAATACATCAGTGCCAGGGTGATGTAGCATACGTCTTGTTAACATGGTGTCAGTACAAAAGATTCTTCAGTTAATAAGTATTATAATGTTCAATCATTATCACACACAACGAAGTCAAACAGATCCAGAGGAATAACTGACGTTCCTTCCAGATAAACAATGGATTATGGATGTAACGACTTTTGTTGAAGATGTTTATGTTAACAGAAGGATAATGAGTTGATATTATCGCAATTCAAACAAGTTCGGATTTCACAAAGTCTCAAAGAGCAAGTGATCGACTTTTCTGATGTCAATACAAATCCCTCAAGGGAGACAACTCACGTTACTTCTAAGATAAGTTTCAAGACCGGATGTAACAGACTGATTTATTAGGTTCCTTGGTGTTTGAAACAATAAATCAAACAGTCCCTAATTATCATGACGTATTGTGCCAGACTCTAAACGACTGTACCGTCACTCCGAGGAAGTTCGTCTCATTGAGCACCTTGCCGACGTTGGGCCCTCTGAACGTGTCCTCCGAGATGAGGTTCGGGCTGGTACCCACAAGAAGAGAGTCGATGGCTTTGGCGATCACCCACACACCGTCGTAGGCGTAGCCGTGAAACTTGCTGAACTGTGTACCGCTCCACTCTTTATAGAGAGCTTCGTAAGCCGCTGGACGCTGGAAGGATTAGAAACACAGTCAACGAGAGTGAGTGAGTGAGTTGGGTTTAGCGCCGCTTTTAACAACATTTGAGTTATATCACGGCGTGTCAGCTTAATGTGGGAGGAAAGCCCGAAGTGGTGCAGGTCGTAGAACCCACGAGCACGGGTACGGTGATGACAACCTAGATACATAACCGGGGCGAACCGGGCTTCGAACCCACAATCATAGGTTCCTGACGTGTCCAAGGGACGCAGCTCTGCACAGCGAATTGCGGCGCCTAAGAACGACTGGGCCACCCGTGCCCCCCAGTCAACGAGAAAAATCTGTCTGTAACAATACCCTTGTCGCAGTACTGTATCAATAACATCATCAGGGATATGACAATAAGAGCTTCACATATCGCATTAGTGGTGGAATTAAATATCAGGTCTTCATCTTGGTAGGAGAAAGACTGACCCAAGGCTCCTCTGCGGATCCATGTTTAAATAATGTTGGCAGGGATTTTACATATGCGGGAGCGATATCTTTAATTCTGAAGCAAATTTGAACACTAACATTAAAATATATTCACTGGACTCAAATTGCATCCGAGGGATTTGACTGTTACATTATGAAGGGGCTATGTCTACACCAACCTCAGCTTAGATCTAGGCACTGAAATAAGCTCAGTGTGAAACTTGAGCATTGCGTCTGTGTAATAAGGATGTAACGCTGATACAGATATAGGCAAATTGGGAATGAAGACAAACTAAGCTGTTTTTAAACGACTTGCAATCTGTCTGAAAGCCATTCTGCTTCAGCCTTATGCTCTTGTAAGTTATTTATAGTAAAGCGGCGACGGGGTCAGTGGAAATGACAAAATAATACAGTTTAGACGCCTTCAACTTCATGTATGACTTTTGCAGAATTCGATGTAACGCTCTATAAGTCCATAGTGCTCCACGCGTGCGAATCCTGTGTGAGATGTTTAGAGCAACAGGCAAATCTAATGGGTAAATGAGTTGGGTTAACGCCGCTTTGAACAGTATTCCAGTCATATAACGGCATGTCAGCTAACTATGCAGGTCTTTGTTGACAAGCATAGCAACATAATCAGAGTTAACCGGCATTCGAACACATCTCATGAAAGGCAATCTAACAAATGTGAATACATTAACAGTACATATTCAAGTCCCGTGAAAGATAATTTATCTCATATGAGTCTAAAAGAAACAATTAGACGATTGGTCTTAAACTAACCAATCCTGAGACAGTTGTTTCGTTACTTCTGCTCAGCTCCAGGAGGTCAGTTGTTAGGCAACCGTGCACCGTATCATTCATTTCCGACTTTGTGCACGTGATCTTCGAGTCAGGTTTTCTCCACCATCCCACATCCTCGTACTCTCCAACAATCATCCACTGGTAGCGAGCGCCGTACATTTGTTTCTTGTGAGCCTGTCTTGAAGGATAGAATAGCACAGTGAGACCCCGACAAGACGCACCACTAATACAGTGAGACCCCGACAAGGCGGACCTCTAATACAGTGAGACCCCGACAAGACGGACCTCTAATACAGTGAAACCCCGACAAGACGCACCACTAATACAGTGAAACCCCGACAAGACGGACCTCTATTACAGTGAGACCCCGACAAGACGCACCACTAATACAGTGAAACCCCGACAAGACGCACCACTAATACAGTGAAACCCCGACAAGACGCACCACTAATACAGTGAAACCCCGACAAGACGCACCACTAATACAGTGAAACCCCGACAAGGCGGACCTCTAATACAGTGAAACCCCGACAAGACGCACCACTAATACAGTGAGACCCCGACAAGGCGGACCTCTATTACAGCGAGACCCCGACAAGACGGACCTCTAATACAGTGAAACCCCGACAAGACGGACCTCTAATACAGTGAAACCCCGACAAGACGCACCACTAATACAGTGAAACCCCGACAAGACGGACCTCTAATACAGTGAAACCCCGACAAGACGGACCTCTAATGCAGTGAAACCCCGACAAGACGCACCACTAATACAGTGAAACCCCGACAAGACGCACCACTAATACAGTGAAACCCCGACAAGACGCACCACTAATACAGTGAAACCCCGACAAGGCGGACCTCTAATACAGTGAAACCCCGACAAGACGCACCACTAATACAGTGAGACCCCGACAAGGCGGACCTCTATTACAGCGAGACCCCGACAAGACGGACCTCTAATACAGTGAAACCCCGACAAGACGGACCTCTAATACAGTGAAACCCCGACAAGACGCACCACTAATACAGTGAAACCCCGACAAGACGGACCTCTAATACAGTGAAACCCCGACAAGACGGACCTCTAATACAGTGAAACCCCGACAAGACGCACCACTAATACAGTGAAACCCCGACAAGACGCACCACTAATACAGTGAAACCCCGACAAGACGGACCTCTAATACAGTGAAACCCCGACAAGACGGACCTCTAATACAGTGAAACCCCGACAAGACGCACCACTAATACAGTGAAACCCCGACAAGACGCACCACTAATACAGTGAAACCCCGACAAGACGGACCTCTAATACAGTGAGACCTCGACAAGACGGACCTCTAATACAGTGAAACCCCGACAAGGCGGACCACTAATACAGTGAAGCCCCGACAAGACGGACCTCTAATACAGTGAAACCCCGACAAGACGGACCTCTAATACAGTGAAACCCCGACAAGACGCACCACTAATACAGTGAAACCCCGACAAGACGGACCTCTAATACAGTGAGACCCCGACAAGACGGACCTCTAATACAGTGAAACCCCGACAAGGCGGACCACTAATACAGTGAAGCCCCGACAAGACGGACCTCTAATACAGTGAAACCCCGACAAGAAGGACCTCTAATACAGTGAAACCCCGACAAGACGGACCTCTAATACAGTGAAACCCCGACAAGACGGACCTCTAATACAGAGACACTGTCAGTACCGACACCATGCCTTCCGATCGGTTTAGAAACGTCTTCACATATAAAGGGCACTACATTATAATTAAATGATAAATTCGTTTATTGCACCAGTTGGCAAATGCACTTAGATTAACTGTCCTGCCTTAAGGAGTTCCACTGTAATACTTATCAACGATTTATCAATTGAATGTCTTACAGTACTATTGTTATTATAATAAGAATTCACACAAATAACTTTTCCTAGGAAATCATGAATCCATTAGTCTAATTAGAACTGTCCTTATCGACAGCAGTGTGTAATCTCACCAAATCTAGCACATCGATCGATGTGTTTCAACCAAAATAATGTCTTTGTTGGTTACGAACACATAATGGTCGCTGAACACAAATAAGGAATCTATGACAAGTAAATAACAGTCTATCCTGCTCAATCTTTTTCGATCTAAGACCGATGAAGATAATGGTTGCATAATTCTCACGTGCCTCTCAGATATATAATATTATTCTCAATGGTCTCTCTGACCGTTTAGAGTTATAGCTCCCACATGTTACTCCAGCTGTTTAGATATATGGTTCCCACGCACATCCAGTGTAAGAGAGGGGGGCAGTGTTGGTTACGTAAATACGCTGACTGCACGAGCACATAGCAACGCCATGACTCCAGCGACAGTATATCTAGCCTTGTTGAGATGCTGCCCTTGTGTTTACACAGAAGACGGTTTAGTGGTGCCAGACAAACTCCCTAACCTCAATCAATATAGAAATTATCCTAGAAATGATGTTCAAACATTGCTAAGCTGTGCACACGTACCTGAAATACGAGTTTGTAATTTTATAATGAAAAAGGCATTGTCCAATATCTTGAATAGTTGCGTTGCTGATAAACGCGGTATTTCTACATCCGTGTCAATTTCCCCTACCGTTCACAATAAACCGTTCTTTCATTCAGTCTTCTAGTATTGTCATCTCTTTCCTGTGCATTTGATATATTAATTATTTATTATCTACTGAAGAGTGTTTCTTTTGCCAACTTTGAATTGACCTTGACCTAACACCATTTGCGCCAGCGGCAGACATAATAAGACTAAAGTGAAAACGTACCATTGTAAAAATGTTTGATTCGTGACATTATTATTGACCAATGCACGATTTCATAGATGACACTTCAACAAACTTTTTTTCACACTAAATAAGCCCAAAACCGTCTGTTTGTTTCTTCAAGCTTTTATGGTATATCGTTGGTGAATATATCCCTCAGTATTTTAATAGTAAATCCCTAAACCCACTCTGTAAGTACCATACGCACTGCTAGCCATACCATTAATAGATCACCTAAATAACTGTGAACACTCCCCAGTATAAACATTTATCTTCCAAAACTGGTTTATTTATACACACAGTAGGATATACATGAATGTATCCATTTACCCCCAAAATTTTGAATACCTGGTATGCATGTGAGCTTGTGATTGGTTGATTAGTATGCATCTTATTAGGAACAACTTTCGTTCAAAGTAAGGAAAAGAAGTTATGGATGAACAACTTCTTTATTACAATTAAGAGCGACATTTCGGTGTAGGTTCTAACACCGTTATCAAGCAAGTGATATACAGAGTTCGGTTGGTAAGTATATACACGTATATATAAGTAGGAAGCAATGTTTATACAGTAGAGTAGATATTGTTATACGGGAGTAGAGAAGCCTGTTATGTATACACAAGGATAGTGATGACAATCTTCGGTGAAGTCAGTGACATAAACAAATGTAAATATTAATTCTTTTCCTTACTTAGTACTCCAACTTCTAAATGCCTATCAAAGAAGTTAAACTTTCGTTCATTAGACCAAAATGGAAACAAACACGACTCAATTAGTTATTCTTAATTACACTGTTTTAAAAGTGCTACGGTTTGACATTTGATAACCGTTTTTACTCACGGTACTTTGATAGGTGTAATATATCTTGAAGAAACTTAACCACTTTTTGTTGTGTATTAAGCTTTATAGCAATGTGCACTTCATCTGTGTTAATTCCTACGCGAACAGAATAATATTCCCTTAAGACACTATCATAAAAAGTCTGCTTTCAAAATTTACTAAACATTATCAACTAATTTACATGATAAATAGTATCTCGTCCCTGTGTCTCGGTATTATATGACTTTTATATACTAGTATTTGATATGCAAAAAACACACGGGGAAGCATCTGTATGTGCACTTACATTGCAAACGCTATCATACACCTAGTAGTTTCAGATCATCCTTTGAAGTTTGGACTGAATTATTTATTTTATCCCAGCAATGCTTTCAACAAAGTAAACTCATTAATAGTCTATGACGTAAGACCTATCCAAAGTGTCTGCAGCCTGAGAACGAGTGTGAGCTTGAAGCGTGTTCTTGGCTACAATACGTACGGTACAGAAGACCCGTCTGGCGGTGCTTTCGTCAAAGTTCCCCAGTATTATCCGTATATCCTCCGCCTGCGAACATAAATAGTCCGTCAATGAATGCCCATACAGAAAAATGGGCCTTAACGTGTAATTTTATCAGTTATTTCCAATATCTACCCATGACGACGAGATAACGTCTAGACTTGAAAGGCGAACACAATCTGGGATTTGGCTACCGGAAAGTACCACAACATTTTCCTGGAAGGCAAATCCACTTTTGGTTACACGACGTCGTCGCGTACACTGTAATGTTTCATTCACTATACTAAAGTGGCTGTGTAATAATCGCCGAGGTACATCGGAACAGTTGCACAGCAATTACCATGTCTGAAACTATGCACTCTCTTGTTGTCGTCTGTGGATCAAACAGAGATTTGATTATTACTCTTACGTGCATTATATGCCTAAACGATACGAAGTTGGTGTTCAAATCCCCTTTGTACTCTGATCCATGGTTGATGTGCTGCATTGCCTCTCTTTTAACACAGATATTGTCTTATGGAATTATGTTTTATCTTCTATATTCCCTTAACTGCAATATATTATTGTACTCACTTTTAATTTTTCTAATGCCGCTTCCGGGTCCACGGCGAAACTCTGTTCCTGGTCAATCTTTATGTTTGTCTTTTCTAGGAGTGTCACCAAGCGGTTGTGTGCCTGTTAGCAAGACAAAGAATGTATATTGTATGTAGACATGTATGAACATTTGGTGATACCAATGGTGTATACAACAGGTTATAAACAGGTGTTCATATCGATTGCGTATACATACGTGTATGAACATGTGTATGTATATGGGCGTGTATAAACAAGTGTTCATATCGATTGGGTATAGAGACGTGTATGAAAAAGTGTTCATATCGATTGTGTACACATAAGCGTATAAACACGTGTTCATGTCGAGGGCGTATACAGCAGGTTATAAACCAGTGTTCATATCAACGATGTATACATACTTGTATAAACAAGTGTTCATATCGATCGCGAATACAGACGTGGATAATCAAATATTCATATCGATGATGTATACAGACTTGTACAAACAAGTGTTCATATCGATCGCGAATACAGACGTAGATAATCAAATATTTATATCGCTGATGTACATACAGAATCGTTTAAATAATTTTTCATATCGATGATGTCTATAAATATGCATGTACATGTTTCAAATTATTCAAGGCATATTCACTGGGCGCCAGGCAGCCTAAATCCAGACCTTAAATACGACAAACCAAAAAAAACATTAGGGTTCAGGCCAATTTGTCAAAAAATAAATGCCGTCTGAAGTTTACTGAGAGAAAAAATATGTGAAATGCTTGACTTCCTCATCTACGTAAAATTTGGGGTAAGACATTACGACAAGAGACAGGTATCCTAAGGGGTACCAATTGTGCTCCCCTTCTTGCTGACCTATTTCTTTATGCATATGAATCGGAATTTCTAGTCGGATAGGAAAGTCAGTTTTGTCAGGAAGTTTAACTTTAGCTTAAGGTTCGTCGAAGATCTGACATCGTTCAAAAACCATCAAATAGACAATTCTGATTTACCCACCTGAACTTAAATAAGGATTTATGCATACAGATGCAGAAGGACGAAAGACTGTTTGACGTGAGAGATGACTTCAACCTTCCAACAGCCACCTTTCCCTTCATGTCGAGCAATATTCCTGCAGCTCTAGCCTTTTGGGTTTACATTTCACATCTTTTGAGGTACAATACAGCATGCTCTTTCTACCAAGATTTCAAACAGCGTCAAACTACTCTCGCTCAGTAAAGCTTTCAAAACGTTTTGTGGTAGACATGTGGAGGACATTTCCAAATTTGACGCATCAGTGACTGAAATGATCAGATGAACAATTGACTTGCCTATACATGTGTTTGTGACGTGTGCCACCAGTGGGGCAGGATACGCTCACCTTTTCGCAAACACCTGGTATCATCACTATTTGATAGTGATTTCCAAACACATGATCAAGATTGCTTTTGGCAGAGAAAGGTGTTTTGTCGATTTTATTGCGTGGAAATTGTCTGCACTTGCCCATTATATATAAATGGCTCCCCCATCAACGTAGGTGTTGTTTCATGTAACTGTCAGTGTTAACGTCTATGTCAAGTCTGCTTGAGTGCATCCAATTATGACATATAACATACATCCTGAACATAGTTAAATTCTTTTTTGGGGAAACGCTTGTGTGGTAATATATGTTAACTCCAGCCTTTGATTGTGTTATGTATTTAGAACCAGGAATATTTACAGAAGCCTTGACGTTTATTGTGACTGTGTTTGACGTGCGTGTAGGGTGGTTGTTACAAACAATACCATCTCGTGGTGGTGCCGATATTGATTCAAGAAGCAAGGAGGTAATTGCAGTTCGGGACACGAGTGTATAATGCGATTACCACTCCCAATTACGTCACGTTCGAAAGCACGGACGTGATAGAAGGCAGCCTTCATTAATACAATTTTAGCAACACGTAAAAGGGGTGATAATTTCAATATCACGCTTCCATTTAATAAATATGAAAGGATCTGTTCACTAATCGATGGAATCTTTTTGCCCTAATTTTCAGTACTAGTGGGTTAATATCTTTATACCATGACCCTGATTAAAAAAGGTTACCAGAATAGATCGTAATGGCATTAACGGCCTCTTAATAACACTCATTATAATTCTAGGTCATAACATGAAATAAGACCTAAACAGGTGCTGAAATTGCTCATCGAAAATGTGAAACTGGTGCATTTTTCCTGTTACGTTATGACCAAATATGGGACCAAAAATTAGTTGTTTATATTTTGTTCCACTAACCTTGAGTATCCCATTTTATAAATTATCAAATCACTTGATATACTCTTCCATACCCATTTCTTTTACGTTTGCCACACTCACCTCAAGTTTCAAATACTTAATGCGGTTGATTCGCAAGCCCTTGCCATCATACTGCCGCATGTAACACTCCTAGCCCCTTTATTCAAACGACTGAGCGTTTGATGAAATTAGTACCCAAACACCACCTGCAGGCCCATCTGTGCGGTATCTGAGTCGATACGTGTATTTCCGGCGGATTATCGAGAAGGTTTATTAGTCCATGTTGTGTAAAGAGAGGACTACTTCTTCCGGCTGTTCACCCATTACGTGGTGTTACTCCGCAGACATTACCGGATGTAACTTCTCAAGTGTGAAGCAAGGAGCACGAAGATGACAGTCCCGGTGGGCAACTGTCAAAAACTCTCCGATCTAACACAGGCGATCAGAAAACCGTTCGTCAGAAAAGCATAACGAAGACCAGATGATGCACTCAACTTCATTCGACTGGGGAATGAATGAGGAAAAAGCAAACCGAAAACAGAATTAGATTCACAAGTTACACACAAGAAACAATGCCACCATTAATGCTTACAGTGATGATTATTTTAGTGAAGAGTGGTTTCAGCGCGTTTTGCAAAGTTCCTGCAACTTCCAGAGGGGAAACCATGAATAGAAATCACACATTGCATTCACGATGAGCATAGAACCTGGGTCTCCGGTGTGACTATCAAACGGAATTAACCCAACCACTAATTGCGATACAAAGGACAGACAGAAAACATATGTCCTATAGACGTATAGATAGACACATGTTGAATAGATAGAAAGATGAAATGGGATCGACTGACAGGTACAGGTGGTGTGGTGAGGTGAAATGGGGTTTAACGTCGCGTCCAAGATTATTGCACTTATATAGCGACGTGCATGTACATGTATGTGTGTGTGTGGCTGCTTGTTCTAGTCCGGACTGATGCCGATTTATAGTGCTAGCTCACTGAGATACCATGCCGCAGTTTAACATGAATACCCCACTCAGACACACTATACTGACTCCGAGCCGACCAGTCCTTGTTTTAGCCCCTTAATGCCGAGCGCCAGACAGGGTAACAACAAGTACCATCTTTTAACGTCTTTTGGTATGACGCGGTCGGGGATCGAACCCCGGACCTTCCGCTCTCCGAGCGGACGCTCTACCTCTAGACCACGGAGGCGGTCTGACAGGTACAGAGAGACAGAGTAAGTGAGACATATACAGACAGAGTCAGAGACTGAGACATACAGAGTCAGAGGGACAGCGTCAAATACAGAGACAGTAAGATACAGACAGAGAGACAGATACACACAGACTCAGGGAGACAGGGACGGGATGCGAGAGCCAGCGCCAGAGCCAGATACAGACAGTCAGAGAGACAGAGATACATCGAGACAGAAAGACGGACACAGAGACAAAGAACCAGAAGGATATAAAGACAGACAGAGACAGAATGGCAGAGGCAGAGAGACATATACAGGGACAGAGTCTGACAGAGAGGCAGAGGGATCACTAAAGAGAGACAGAGAGGTTGTGAGACTTGGCGATGTCGCCGTGACATCTGGGAGATGTGGAAGTGTGATGCTGAGGCGGCAATTTCATTTGGCTTTTTTTAGAATCAACATCCCATAATTCAACAGTAATTCCATTTCGCCGAGATGCAGGGCAGCTGTTATTAAATTATTAAAACAAATCTGAAAAACTGCTTTATCTTTCTGTCATGTAAACGACTTGTGATATTGTCAATGCTATTTTGATTGCTTCTTGCTGAGGGAACAGGCTTAAAATGGGATTTGTTGCAATGTTATATCACTTCTTCTAAACATAACTTTTCTCGTTCATCACATCCATTACGATAGTTTAAACAGAGCAAGATGAAGATCAGCTTATAAACAAATACTAACATGTATGATGACGTCAAAACAACTGAGCTCGCATGTGATAATTGACTGGCGAAGGAAAGTTCTGGGAGTTCTTGTATTCAGGTTTTCTTTATTCACGATTGTGAAAGACCCATTGCTTACTAAATAGAACATTTCCATATGAACAGACATCAGGTGTTTCACCGTTCGAAATATCTGACCTTTCGGGATTCATTCACTCGTTGTTGTATGACATTGAAGGCAAAAGTGCCGAGACAACAAGATCAGGTATTGCAAGAAATAAAAAGATGTGTTGGCTAGTACGTTGATGTCAATTCAATACAAAACGGCGAGGTATTGATATTACCGAATACATTAAGTTCGTGAAATACTAGATTGTTTATTGATCAGTAAAATAAACCGAGCTAATAAAAGTACAAAATGGTTTCTTGACCACTGAAAGTAAGCCATGGTATCAACGTCAGTCCATAAATCAAACAGATCGTCTTAAAAGTTATCTTATCGCAACGACTGACAATATCACATTTCGGAACGGAATCCTGGCTAACTGAAAAACGACAAACAAAGCTATTCATGTGTCAGATATTTCTTTATAAGTGTAGCCACAGTATATACTCAACAATATAAAGGTCATTAGGGAAATTCATACATTTCAGGGACGGTGGGGTAGCGGTAAACATGGAGCGGCAGATAAAGAAATCGCTCCTCACGTCGAATATGTGTTTTCGATTCCTCACATTATGAGGCCCATTTCTGGATCCCCGCTGTTGCTGGAATATTGTTAAAAGCGGCGTAAAACTATACTCACTCTTACATTGCTTACGCATTTGTTGAACAGTGAGGAAAAAAAGGTTCATGTGAAAACTGACATTCTTCAACAGACACGATATTATCGTTTCTATCTCGGCATTTGTAATTTCCAAAAGTGCTGTGAGTTGTCAGATACGCTGTAATGGGCTCTTAAGAAGACAACTCACAACTAAGGACACCACTAGAGAAGTAGGTATATTGGAAGCGGGGTCATCTCGACGTCAAGTTGGTCGTTATTTAAACATGACTCATAGCGTTATTGGCACATCGTGGTACAAACTGGTCCTATTGGGAGAAAATCCAAAGAACTATTCAACAAGACAGTCCGATCACCTGTGTTGCTGAAAGAAGTCATTTAAGTCTTTGAAAGTCATTTCGAAGTTGCCAGAAAATGAAGACATGAAACGTTTATGGAGACTACCTTTTTACTGTTTGTAACGATAAGACAATTTCTTGCTCCTCCGTCATTCAACGGATGATTACGATGGGAAAAAAGTAACCCTTTACGTCATTACAAGCAATAAAAGACCCGTTATCCTTAAGATGTTTCATGTGTTCAGGTCATCTATTCTCAACTTCGACATTGAAAGGAATGTTACAGAGGTAGTCATCAATGTCGACACAAACATTTCAGAGCATCAGTCGAACTTCATCATCTAGAGTTAAGAGCTTGGTGTCTGGCTCTGTGGCCATCACTGACTGTGCATCACAACTGGAATGCCAATAAGATGCAGTGTGTTCTGCTCTCAGATGAGTCACATTTTTGTTTGATTTGTGCGATGGTCGACGTCAAAAAAGGCAAACCAAAAAATGGACGATTCCCGAACTGCTGTGTAGAATATGACAGATTTGGTGGAGGGTCAGTCGTGGTTTTAAGGAGGAATAGGTTTGAGTGGATCAAAGGCGTTGAACACAAGAAGGAGTGGAACTTGTGCGATCCTTCATCTTATTGATAGATTACTTATGCCAGTGCCATAAATGTTGATAACAATTGCGTTCTAATGGACGATAAAACCACACCCGACCAGAACGAATGTATCGTGAGAGGTAAATAACAGTTGGGTTGATCAGCGTATTGATTTGACTTCAACAACTTTGGGTTGTGAGTGAGTGAGTGAGTGAGTGAGTGAGTTTGGTTTAACGCCGCTTTTAACAGTATTCCAGTTATATCGCGGCGTGTCAGCTTAATGTGGGCGGAAAGCCCGAAGTGATGCATGTCTCAGACGTTTACCACTTTGGTGAAATCCACGAGCACGGGTATGGTGCTGACAAACCTAGAAACATAATCGGGGCGAACCGGCATTCGAACCCACAATCACAGGTTTCTGGCGTGCCCAAGTGACGCAACTCTGCACAGCGAATCCCGGCGCCTTAGACGACTGGGCCACCCGTGCCCCCACTTTGGGTTGTATTGGCAACGTTTACGTTTTCTTCCACGTTACAGGATCCTTTTGCCAATTCAGAAAAGTAACAGCGATCATTAACCTTTCAGTTGAGTATATATTTACTAATAACGTCTTTAGTTTCACATGGTCTTAAAATCTGTTATCAAACATCGATTGTTTCATATTCTCTCCAAAAATATAAGGGATCATGAAACATAAATGTTATGATCGGTCGTCAGAAGAAAGATCAGATTTAAAAAAATGACTGCGATAGACATGTCAGAACCAGCAACTAACACACTGTCAACAGTCTATGTGGTTTAGGCAATTCCTCCGTGCACTTGAGTAGAGGGGTCATTCTTGATTTTGACATCATCAGTGAAAGGGCGTCTAATCGCTTTGAGACATTGGTATTCTTGATTTCCATTACCCACAATAACACGAAAGCTGTCAATTGTTGCTTTAATGCAGTATTTATGGTCAGATTTGGAATGCATCATCCACAACGTGATGAATACCTAAGGGCTATTGGCTTGCTTCAAACTGGTGGAACTCGGTGAAAGTTAGGCAATATGTTCAATGAGGCTCTGTCTGTGATTTGCAGACTTTGGGATGGGTTTCTGCAGACATTCCGCACAGGGCGCTCGAGGTCCTGGATCGATTGATCAGGTGTTAAGAAAACGAGCCCAAAGAACCAATCAAAGCGCTATTCACTTGCGCCAGGCTGCTGGAGTTCAAGTTACTGACCAAACGCTTAGAATTTGTCTGTATGAAGCTGATCTACATGCTCGATGACCACGTGTTATACCATCATTAACAAATCGACACATTCCAGCCAGACACCAAAGGTGTTTTGAGCGTAGAAACTGGCGGAATCGGCGATTGTATCATGTCATGCTTTCAGATTAGTCCAGATTCACTCTGGATTTTTTGGATTGGACTGGACGAAACTTTTTTTTTCGTATCCATCCAGAACCATCACTAGATACCTCTTTGTATTTATGTCATCATGTGTTGTTTTCGAATGTTTTTTTATATATTATTTTTTCGTATGTGTTGGACCCGTGACGATTCGGGTTGGAATAGGTCTTCAGCAACCCATGCTTGCCATAAAAGATGACTATGCTTATCGTAAGCGGCAACTAACGGGATCCGGTGGTCAGGCTCGCTGACTTGGCTGATGCATGTCATCGCATCCCAATTGCGTGGATCGAAGCTTACGATGTTAATCGCTGGATTGTCTGGTACAGATTCTATTTACAGACTGCCGTCATATAGCTTGAATATAGCTTGAAACAAACCAATGATATGTGTTGTATGTAATATTCGATCGAACGATTCCTGAGTAGATTCCTGAAATGAAACCTACATGTTCACTGTGTTGGGAAGTTTAAAGCCATACCAAGACATACTTCACCAATTTGAGGAATCGCACAGTGCCTACAATTGCCATCAGACACTGGCACTATCTCATCAGAAAAGTCACATACAGGCATCAACAAAAGGTTAGACTCACGTAATTGTACTTGGCTGAACCTTTGGGATCAAACTGGAACAGCGTCCCCACACGTGTCCAGTTGAAGCTCCTTAAGAGCGCCAATCTCGCTGGGTTGAAGTCAGAGTCACTGGGTACCGTCCTGAAGAAGAATGGGTATTTATCCCTCTCTGACAGCAGTGGGTTCGTGTCGGCGTAGGAGAGCTGAAGGAAAATAGTCATTGTTAGATTGTGTGAGTGAGTGAGTTTCATCGCCGCTTTGTACAATATTGCAGTTATATCACAACGTTTCATCTTAATATAGGATGAACTCCGAAAGAGAAGCAAAGCAAAAAAGAAGGCATTTTACCCACGGTTGTAAATGTTGCTGGCAAATCGTGATCGAGGTGGATCTGGGACTTAAAACTCACAATCATTGGATCCAGGTACAACTTATGGGCGTAATTCTACACTGGGGATTGTGACGCTATAGATCTCTGGGAACCTGCCCCGATACAAATCTTTCTTCATCATATACATACAACTAATCTGTAGCTACAGTGTTTATACATTCTGTTGTTGAGGTAATATGTGGCCCAGGTGCTCATGGGCAAACATGCTTGGGTTATGCCACAGATTAGGATAAGATAATACAGCATAACGCTTTCTAGAACTCGACTATTTCAATATGTCAGCAGTGTCGTCTAATTACGGTTGTTGCTCCATCTATGCACATATAACGTTGCGTTAACGACTTGGTGAAATTTACCATGCACTTGTTGGTTCACTCGGGGTGATATCGCTTGAATGTTACTAACAGCATACAGTTTCACTCCATTGGTGTGTTATTATACTTAAGTCTAATGTGGGATTCATGAATGCACACATTAATTTAGTACAAATGTTAAATTAATTTAATCGCAAAGTACACAATAGCAGACTCGATAATTCATTGATGACCGACAAATATACTTTTAAAACCGCGTGTATTCACCCTCATTTTTTATGCAGGGTCGAAGTGACCTAAAGAGAGACAGACAGGTTTAACTATATTAACTCAGCGTAGGCTGATAGGGATACCAGAATCAAACCTGTGAATACGAGATACAGTGACCCCACCAAGAGTTACTATGATGACATGTAATTCGGTTTGAATACGGTATCCCTTTATCGTCGGTAGTACCATAATCGTATGTGACAGCATTGTCATCGAAATAACCATTGTAATCAATAAACATTGAAAGAATGATAAATAATTGAAACGTCATCTCCTTGATCACGAGACGTTTCACCGAAACTCGTAGACTGGAAGATATTACCCTCGACACGTATGATAAGCATGATACCCATGTAGTTCTCTGAAGAGAAGGAACTCAGTCTAAAGCAGATCACACTGCCTGGTAGTTCACAGCTGTTACAGGTTCGCGCACAGAAGTGTAGCGTTACTGACCCACAGAATCAGTCTAATGACTCCCACGAGACCTTTTAACGGAAGTAATTTAAGATAAAAGCTGCAAAACATAATTACTGACTACTGTTGAAACAGAACTCAGTGCTCTAAACAGATAACGTACTGCTGATCACCCTAGGGACTCGATGGTACATAAGCTTATTCGGGAACGTTTAAATAATCCCCCATAAAACACTGATGTATGCAATTTCCCTAAGTCCCGCGGGATACTATCAATGTATAGACCAATGTATTTTGGTTTGTTACTCATTGAGGAATGTCTTTCATGTAGAATCGAGGTCACCACACGTACACGTGTCTACTCATGTCATTCCGATTGGTCTATCCTCTCAAGAGTATGTATCGTATTGAGATAAGTTTCACCAACATAGTTTTTAAAGGCTTGAATTAAACAATGTTTTATCCGATAAAGGTGTTTGGGTAATAGATCTTATGATAATCTAAAGGGCATTTAACGGATTTATTGACAGGGATTACGTAAAACAAGAAGAAAAACCGTTTGGCTTCAAAATAAGTACAGAACCATGAGGCTCTGTAGCTCACCTTGGACATTTGGATTGTCGTAGATCAACTTTAGCATTACTTGAGATATAGATTATTTATGTTGGAACTAATTCCCTTCGTCGTCACATATTGGAGATCTTGGAGAAGAATAGGTCCCCTGTGTCCCATGCTTGTCGTAGGAACTGCTTTACAATGTGTGACCAGGCCTCCGAATGTGTGTCGATTATGATATATGAGGTTCTTGTGGTCACCTTGAACATTTGGATTGTGATGGATCAACTGCAGCATTACTTGAGATAGCTTTTTGAACCAGGTTTTTTTTTCGTCACATATGGGAAATCTGAGAGTAGAATCTGTGTTTCCAAAGCCTGTTGTAGGAACCTTTTTACAATGTGTTACCAGGCTGAACGTGAGTCATGTCGATTATGCAGGTCATACAGCGAACTACTGGTCTGCCTGGTACTTTTTGTAATAAGACGCTTTGATGCAGCACGGACTTATGACACAGTTGATCTCCGTCCATAGATCTATCTCAATACCCCTATTAATCTGGTCCAAACTCGATTATTTACAGACCGCCCTCATATTGCTGTAATATTGCTGAATGCGGCGTTAAATAACAAGAAGAAATAAAAACACATATTGTGTCAGGATGCATGCCATATATGACGCCACAACCGGACAAAATGACCAATGAAATTACTTCCCAAACTAGTCAATCTACATAAGCCTGGAGTGACGCTATTGTGCAAGAGTCCTTCCGTATCCTAATTTACATATATTTGGAACTAATAACTGTGTTATGGCCCGCCTCGAAAGTTTGGAAGTAGCGGTCCTTCCCCACAAGAAAAAAACATATTGTCATTTCACGCATGGGAAGTTTGGAAGCAGCTGTCATTCCACCGATGTAATAAGTGATCACTCAACCCAACATCATGGATTCGAAAAAAGGGGTAACTCATCAAGGTAACTTGGAAACCAACATACTTTAGGACAAGTTTAATACAGAAAGGCCGCCTCAGTGGTCGAGTGGTAGAGCGTCCGCGCGGAGAGCGGAATGTCTGGGGTTCGATACCCGGCCGTTAAAAGATGGTACTTGTTGTTACTCTGTCTGGCGCTCGGCATTAAGGGGCTAAAACAAGGACTGGTCGGCTCGGAGTCAGTATGCTGTGTCTGAGTGGGGTAAACTGCGGCATGGTATCTCAGTGTGCTAGCGCTATAAATCGGCATAAGTCCGGACTAGTACAGGCAGCCACACACACACGCGTGCATGCACGTCGCTATATAAGTGCAATAATCTTGGACGCGACGTTAAACCCCATTTCACCTCACCTTTAATACAGAAAATATATACCGATTGCTCTAAGTTAGACTATATCCTTATCCATATTTGAAACATTTGAATTATTAGTAGAAACACGCTGTGTATTTTTGGCGTCAAGAAGTATTTCCTAGTGACTGTAAACAATATTGTGGTCACAATGCCCCTAACAAAACGTCCCAAGCATACATGTAGTTATCGATGTAAACGTGTTGAGTCAGCATGTGTTTCTCTGAAGGTTCAAATACCTCCTGCTTTTTTGCATGTCCAAAAATATCAATGGCTTCAACGGCTTTGATTATATTGGAAAAAATATTCGAAGATCAAAAGCATATCCTCTTTAAGAACCGGGCATCGTCCGTGGGCTTTCTGAAACAACATAGATCCCAGTTGCAAGCACAAATGTTTGTGACAAGAAGCAAATAAAATGTTAGGTGACAATTTGTGGCCGTCTAGTTGTGAGTTATCGTATTTCAACGGTACTTGGATGCATATGGTATCAACCATTGGTTTCGCTTGTTCAGATTTGAATACCTCCAAGGCTCAGTGATAAAGATGCCATATTGTAAGCGCGGCGCAAAACAACATACCTGTAACGTGGTACTGAATAATTATATTTATCCCGTTTGTCTTGCATTGCAATGTAGCGCAGTGGTAATAAATTCTTTAGTTCAAAATTTATGAAGACAAAACACGCCTGTGTGTTTCCCTTTTAGATTCTCACTTGAGAGCTGTGATAATCAACGCTAATAGGCAGCAATAATATGGATTGATTTCCAGCCAGTTAAATACACTCCGTCCATTTGTATCGCTTTAACTTCACCCCATTGACGCTTTAGATTTGAATGGCTCCTCTCCCTTTGATGGATATGGCATTCCGATTAAAATGTTGATGTTTCTTCCACATGCCACAATACACTGGAAATAACATAGCTGACCATAACAAACTCATGCTCCGGGGCTATTCTTCAGGGAAATTATGTCAACGTTAGAATGTAAGGCGTTGCCAGAAAATCTGAACCATTAAAGTTTTCTATGAATAGTGATAGAGGTTTGTCACAACAAACTGATAGCCTCTGTCCCACGAGAGAGGCTATCAGCCGAGGCTCAGCGCAGAAATGCCACAATCACACAGCTACAAAAGCGATCCATCCAAAAGTCCGTTGTAGTTATTTCCAGGAAGTGCTGCTTTTGGCATGCTTTGTGTTCTTGTTTTCATGTTCCATCTACACATCCCAAAGCCGTTGGCGACAGGGAATCGACGTCAAGTCTGATTGTGATAAGCCTTAACCAAACCTCTCTAACACAGACGGTGAAATGAGATGTGTTATCACAACAGAGCTTCCATCACGTGCACTGAAATGCGTCTACCACAGGGCCACGGTATTGGATAAACACACAATGCCCAACACAGGATAGGGTCGCAAACCAGATTTATTGGCGCGTGTTATAAGTGTAAATGTACTACAAGAAAGCTATGTATACAAGCGCAACGTTCCCGACCTAAGTGATAGGGGGCACGCAAAGTGATAATTCACTTGCCGATGGGTCTTGAGTCGTCACTGACTCATAACGGGTTAGCTAATTGGTGGCTGTCTGCCTATGTCCTCCCTCCTACCGTGGAGTCTCCACAAACAAGTCATATTGAATCAAGTCCCCATTGGACGTACTCTCCTAGACGGTCACTGTTTTCCATTCCGGCGGGGTCTGCAGAATAACCTCATACGACGGTGGCTTAATTCGGTGCGACAAGCCACCTGGCCGTATTCTGTAGCGGAACGCTATATAATGACCCAGACTCACATAGATCAAGAATACAAGATGATCTTTGATGGGCTCGACAGAGCCGCAAATTATTATTAGATAGCTGTTAGACGAGCGGTAGAAATCTTATTTCGGTTTTGCCTAACCTGTCATGGCGTGTCCATG